CTTGGCCCAGGTTATTTTTAAACAAATTTCAGACATTTTACAATTATATCATTTAACCTGATATTGATATAGAATATATATGTATGTGATATAGACAATATATTACATATAATCTATTTTTTATTCAAATATTCAGTCAGTCGTACATAAATCTTTGAACATATTTCTGATTCTCTCCTTAAGGCAGAGTCTAAAAAATAGAATTCCAGGTAAATGAGATGAAAATATTTTAGGGCTCATGATAATTTTGCCAGATTGCTTGCAAGAAAGGCTATATCTATTTATTCTGCCCCCAGCAACACGAAAGCACCCCTTTCACTGCAGTCTACCACACCTAGTTATTTATTTTTTAAGTATATTTTATTGATTATATTACAGTTGACTCAAATTTTTTTCTCCCCTTTATCCCTCTGTTGCCCTGGACCGCCCCTCCCCACACACTCCAGCCTCCCCCTCCCCTCAGTTCATGTCCATGGATAGTACATGTAAGTTCTTAGGCTTCTCCATTTCGTATACTATTCTTAACCTCCCCCTGTCTATTTTATGCCTACCATTTATTCTTCTTATTCCCTGTGTATTACCCCCCTTCTGCTCCTCCCCGTCTCAATTGATAACCCTCCATGTGATCTCCATTTCTGTGATTCTATTCCTGTTCTAGCTGTTTGCTTAGTTTTTGTTTGTCTTAGATTCAGTTGTTGATAGTTGTGAGTTTGTTGTGATTTTACTGTTCAGTTTTTGATCTTTTTCTTAGATAAGTCCCTTTAACATTTCATATAATAAGGGCTTGGTGATGATGAACACCTTTAACTTGACCTTATCTGGGAAGCACTTTATCTGCCCTTCCATTCCAAATGATAGTTTTGCTGGAGAGAGTAATCTTGGATGTAGGTCCTTGCCTTTCATGACTTTGAATACTTCTTGCCAGGCCCTTCTTGTCTGTAAGGTTTCTCCTGAGAAATCATCTGATAGGCTTATGGGCACTCCTTTGTAAGTAACTCTCTCCTTTCCTCTTGTTGCTTTTGAGATTCTCTCCTTATCTTTAATCTTGGGTAACTTAATTATGATGTGCCTTCGTGTGTTCCTCCTTGGGTCCACTTTCTTTGGGACTCCCTGGGCTTTCTTGACTTCCTGAAGGTCTATTTCTTTCGCCAGATTGGGGAAGTTCTCCTTCATTGTTTGTTCAAATAAGTTTTCAATTTCTTGCTCTTCCTCTTCTCCTTCTGGCATCCCTATGATTCAGATGTTGGACCATTTAAAATTGTCCCAGAGGTTCCTAAGCCTCTCCTCATTTTTTTGAATTCTTGTTTCTTCATTCTGTTCCAGTTGGATGTTTATTTCTTCCTTTTGTTCCAAATCATTGAGTCCCGGTTTCCTTCCCATCCCTGTTGGTTCCCTCTATATTTTCCTTTCTTTTCCCACTGTGTATAGCCTTCATTTCATTTCTCCCTTTATTTTGCAACTGAGCTCAATCAATTCTGTGAGCATCCTGATTACTAGTGATTTGAACTCTGCATCAGATAGGTTGTCTATCTCCTTGTCGCTTATTTCTTTTCCTGGAATTTTGATCTGTTCTTTCATTTGGGCCATATTTCTTTGTCTTGGCACACGTATTACATTGTAAGGGTGGAGCCTCAGGTATTTGCCAGGGTGGGGCAACCCTCTTTGCTATCTTGTCGCACTGTGAGTGGGGAGGGGTCAGAGAGAGAAGAGTGCTGCTCATTCGCTCCACTCCAGCCCCACTTTCTGTCACTTCCCTTGGATAGCCATGTATAGCAAAATTGCCAAAAAATATTTTAATGTTCCTCAACATCATTAATCATCAGAGAAGTGAAAATTAAAGCCACAATTTAAAGAAAAAGACTGACAATATCAAGTAATGCAAGGATAGGGAGCACCTAGGGCTCTCCTATACTCCCCTATATTCCGGGTGGGAGTGTAAATTATGATAAGCAATGAAAAAGTACAAACTACAGACCCATGCTTCAACACTGATGTATCAGACATAAAGTCCTGTGAAAGAAGTCATACACAAATATGCATACAATGACATTCCTATTTGGTTAATTTACAAAGCCTTCCTGGAGAAGCTAAGTTTCAGAGTTAGTTTTAGCAACTGTTTAACTTCCAAAACACTACACAGAAATAGAGTCTACATTTTGCCAGTTTTGATCAATTAACATGGTAGTGGAAGCCAGTGCACTTAGATAAGTGAACACAATTAAAGAAGTAAGATTGTAAAGTAAAAATATTTTTACTGGTGGATAACATGAAATTATACCTAGAAAAATCTTAGAGCATCAACGATAAAGCAAATTTAAACAACAGAATTCACTAAGGTAGGAGGATATAAAATGAATTGGCAAAAACAGCTTTCACGTATAAAAAATAATAACCAGTTAAAGGATTTAATGGAAGAGAAAAACTCTATGACAGTAGCAACATCAAAGACAAAATACTTAAGATTAAATTCGAAAAGTGTTCAAAATCTCTAAGAACACATTAAAACATTTCTGAAGCACAAAAATAGACTTGAACAAATGAAAAGACATCCTTTGTTCTTGGACAGGACATTCTTATGTCAGTTCTTACTAATTTGTACGTTTAATGCAATCCCAATAAAAATACCAGGAAGCTTTTTTGCTACTGGAACTGGGAAACTGATACTGAAGTTCATTTGGAAAAACAAACACAAAAGAACAGCCGGGAAAACACTGAAAATGAAAAACTATGAGGGGCAATTAGCCCTATCAGAAATTAAATTACACAGCCTCTGTATTTAAGTCTGTGCTCCTGGTAATGAAGAGGCAGACCAATGGAGTGGAAAGGAGTGAAGAAGATAGGGAACGGAGTTAAGTTTTGAGTACACATTTTTAATGGTTTAGATTTCTGGAAGCATGTTAATGTTCTACATATTCAAAAAATAGAATTAAATTTTAGACTAAAAAGAAAAACATGCTCTGTAAGGAAATTATTGAGACAACTGGAAAGATTGGCATATGGACCGTAAAGTAGTAAATCAGTGTTACATTTTCTGAAATTGGTAACTCTACTGTTGTTATGTAAGAGACAGTCCTTATTGCTAGGGAATATACGCTTATGTATTGAGGGTTAAAAGCCTTAATTGCCCTTTGCAACCTATTCTCAAAAGAATGAAAAAAGTTGTATATGTATATAAATATGTATGTATGTAGCACACACAAATTTTTTAAATGTCAAAATGTTAAAAATTGGTTAATTCTGGTACAAGGTAAATATTCTTGCTGCTTTAAACTCACATATGTCCATTTGTATGTCACATTTTCAGGTGGTAAGAGCATTGTAGTTTAACTATTTTTGTATAAATGCCTCAAAAATCTCAATGTGTGTCTGCCTTTCAGATGTCAGAATAGTGTGGCGTTTTGTCAGTGCATTAAAAGGGGCTATCTAATGAAATGCAGTTTGAAGAAATGTAGGTTAAAATGTTCTTGGAAAGACAAAACAAACACAAAAAGACACGGAACACTCAGAATGTCAAAATAAATACCAAGGTGAACATGTATGCCATGATGTGGGGACTAAAATGTTGGACTATACAATTTGGGGTTCTAATTCAACAATTTTTGTTAATCATTCAGAGAATAGTAATTGGAGAAATATGTACCTAATTGTTGAGAGGTTATGTCTTGGAAGAGGATCACAGGGGAGAGGATACCTATTTCAACGTCTGAATTTTGAAGAATATGTATTGCCCTTACAACTTAAAAACAACTAAAATAAGATTTAGCCATGTTAAAGAAACACAAGTGTACATGATGATAGTATGTGAACTGGCTCACAAGAGATCAAACTAAAATTCTAGTATTTTCTTATCTAGCTAATAAACATTATTAAAAAATATTAAAAGGGAGTGAGATACGCACATGGTGAAAGGTGGACATTTTTCATTCAAGAACATGGAAACTCTTTGGGCTCAAAAAACAAAATCTTTATTCTATAAAACTTTTGTAATCTTTATGGTAGTTAACTTTAAAAGAAAATACAAACTACTATGACTATATGGTAGATATGAAAAAGGACATCAGATTACACTGGGGGAAAGACATTTTTAAGTGGTACATCTCAACAGAAAAACTTTACGAGACTTTTTTTTTTTAATCCTCCCTGACGATACACTGATTTTTAGAGAAGGGGGAGATAGAGAAACATCGTTCAGTTCCCTCCTGCATGTGCCCGGACTAGGAATCAAACCCACAATCTATGTATTTGCCCTGATGGGGGAGCAAGCACTGCAAGTATCTGGTATGAGGCTCAATGTTCCAACCAACTGCGCCAGCCAGCCAGGGCACAACAGGAGACATTTTAATTCAACTTTTCTAATAAAGAGCTTTTCTCTTTATTAAAACATGAAAGTTTCTTCTTGAACCTTTTTATATGTACAATTTATCAAACTGGCAATTCCCTTAGTAACAGGCTGACAGATGAAATGGGTAAAGCAATGTACATGTAAGATTAGAAGGCTAATTTGGGTATTACTGCATAGGGAGAGTATTGGTACACAGGCTCCAAATTTACTGCAAAACTACACTAACTTAATCATAGATTTGCAGTTGCATCATTCTACCTGCCATCTAATGGTGGAAGCACCACCTTGTGGCAAAAGAGCTTCTCAATTACAGTCAAGGCAGCTGGTTGCTGCGAGAGAACTCACTCTGTGGGTTTCCAGACACTAGTGATATTCTATTTCCTGAGTGGTAGAGATGCCGTGAGTGCTCACTTTATTATTGGTTAAACCACATGACTTTCATGTTACTGCATGTTGCAATTTTAAAGGTTTAGAAAATGTATATGTACCCAAATTAAAAGTTCCATGACTACATGCTTGAATTTTCCAACACCAATTATGTTTCCTACAACTACAATGCATTCATTACCTTGTGAGTGAATTTACTAGTTATTTTTATGATAAGGAACAAAATATGAGAAAGATATAGTCTGGTAAATGACAAGAGATTTTTTCCTCCAGATGTTTTCATCGCTGCTCTCAGCCTCCAATAGCAATTGCCAGTGCTCCACAATCATCTGGAATTGCCTCTATACACCTGCACCAACTCTTCTGAAACTGTCCTAAATCCCCCTCGGTGGACTGTATCGATACAGAATACCAAGAAAACCATGGCACACTTAACTATGCAATGATATTCAATCAAAATGGTTCTTCTTTCACGTTTTATTTTCCATATTTCCAGTAAGTGACACACTAGTGACAAAATGACTTGTTCAAGAGAATTTCACCTCTTTCAGATGTGGAATCACTTTTCCTAGGAGCTAAATGCATCACATTTAGTACCTCTTTCATACTGTAGAGCACAATTTTAGAGGGAGGAAGCCTTATTCTTTTTTCTCAGGAACCTGTCAGGATGCTTCGGCAGCCACCTCCCTCACTATGACACTCGCCCAAGCTCATGTATCTCAGTGGCAGGTGCGAAGAGCCAGCAGCTGATGCTGCCCCATGCAGGGGTCTGCACTGCCCAAGACTGACACCCAGACTTGCTTCTCTTCCATCATGGAGAGCAACTCTCATTCTTTATTTCACCTCTGCTTCATTCACACACTGGGAATGTCAAAGGACGGCAGAGGTGCCTGAGAATATTAGACAGGAGACAATGCCTTCTGTTGAGTTAATGCTGCCTGCTAAAATAATCCGTATGCTCAAGTCAGGTACAGAAAATATTTTTAAAGAAACTCATTAGAATGTTACATCACAATTCTTGACTTAGGTCATTTCAGAGGTATAGTATGAAGGCAGCCACTCTGCAAATGTTCTTTTATAATTTGACACATTCCAGGTATGACTATGCCAATAAACATGAATAGTGCTCAGTCAAGTGTTTGTTTCTGCACATGAAGAAATGTTAGACAATTGTGCTGCCAAACTCTATACCCCCCATAGGCTTTAAATATAGCTGCCTCCCAGGTGAAAAGAAGGAACACTCTCAGAGGTCTTTTAAGAGTTTCTTTTCCTCCTAGAAACAGAGGAGACAGATACAGAAAGAGAAACATGAAGAATATGAAGAATGAGAAGAATGGAGAAAACTACCACTCAGTGTAACATAATCTTCTACAAATGAAATAAAAAAGTCAGTCATTCTGACCATTTGTCCTATTTTTTTTAATACAAACATATCTAATTACTCAAAGTATAAGGTACATGTTAATCATCTCAGTCTCCGTGGCTAAAGCTATCACAAGCATTAGAAAGAGAACACACACTCAGTAACAAACAGCAAGCTTAGGCACAGTTTCATGTAGACGGCTTTACCATCAGCAAACAGAGAATCTCTAGAAATTATTAAAATTATAAAGAGGATAAGTTTTATAAGCTCTTTTTCTCATCTGTGGCTAAAAGTAACTATATTAAAATACTGATGTAGTCTTGGATTGTGAAGCAGAAATGTATAATGGATTATTTTAATCCTTATTCAAGGTTAATATTTAAGCAAAGCTCTCACTAAGATATACATTAACATATGTCAGGAAAGTAAGTCTAATTTTATAGAGCATCACCATGTAATGTTAACAACCAGATTAAAAAATGAGAAAGACCAAGGCTGTGTTATATGTCCTTGAGCTGTGAAGTGTCTCAAGCAGTGGAACCAGCTTCAGGAAATGATGCTCAGAAACAGGAATCTTAAACATTCTCTCTGCTGGGTAAGTCTCTTTCAAATTCGTCAGTTATCAGCAATACTTGAAGAATCTTCAACTGTAAACTCTTAGCCTGCAATGTTTTGATTTTTCCTGAATCTTAAAAACTACAAAGTGCCATTAAATAATTATCTTCTGTTTCTTCTTAAAGAACTAGTGTTCATGAAAGGATCATCGTCGTCATCCTGAAATGACATACAAATGTTATTTCGGTGACTGTTCCACACTTCACTGAGACAAGACAGAAGTTCTTATGGGCAAAACAATATCAGTAAAAGTAATTTTCTCCTATCACATAAGGTACACTTTTATTTTTCTATTTCCTTTATAAATCTGAATAGCTTGTCAACTTATGTTTTCTCTTCCTCCCTTACTAGCTATTTCACTGCTGAAATAAATAAGTCCAATTGAGTTCTTAGCAAGCATTAAGAATAAATATTTATCCTAGTATATGTATGTATATATATTACAATATTGACCATATACAGTTCTCTCAGCTCTTGACCTTAATAAAGACAAATAAGGTGTGCGCAAGCCAGAAAAATACTCTTCAAGTCATTTTTATTTGGATTTTGAATAGGTATTTTTCACTTTCATATTATTATTGGAGTATCTAATGTTCTGAAAACTCAGTCAAAAGAAATAATGAAGCCACATCGCCTAACTCAGAAATAGCTGTAATTTTGAGAAAGAAGAACAAAGCAGGAGGGATCACAATACCTGACATCAAACTATATTACAAGGCCACTGTAATCAAAACAGTCTGGTATGGGCATAAGAACAGACACACGGAACAATGGAACAGAGAGCCCAGAAATAAACCCATGTCTCTATGGTCAATTAATATTTGACAAAAGGGGCAGAAGCATAAAATGAAGTAAAAATAGCCTCTTCAACAGATGATGTTGGGAGATCTGGACAGCTACATGCAAAAAAAAAAAAAATGAAATTCAACCACCAACTTACACTATACACTAAAATAAACTCGAGATGGATAAAAGACTTAAATATAAGCTGCGACAGTAAAAGTCCTAGAGGAAAACATAAGCAGGAAACTCTCAGATATTCCATGCAGCAATATTTTCACCAATATGTTTCCCTAGAGCAAGGGACATAAAGGAAAGAATAAACAAATGGGACTTCATCAAAATAAGAAGCTCCTGCACGGCTAAAGAAAACATCAGCAAAGCAAAAAGGGAACCAACTTGTATGGGAAAATATATTTGCCAATGATATCTCGGACAAGGGTTTGATCTCCAAAATATATAAAGAACTCACATGATAGCACTCTAGGAAGACACACAATCCAATTAAAAAATGAGAAAAGGACCTGAACAGACATTTGTCCAAGGAGGACATACAGAGGGCCCAGGGACATATGAAAGGATGCTCAGCATCACTAGCCATCAGAGAAATGCAAATTAAAACTACAATGAGATATCACTTCACACCAGTCAGAATGGCCATCATAAACAAATCAACAAACAAGTGCTGGTGAGGCTGTGAAGAAAAGGGAACCTAGTACATTGTTGGTGGGAATGCAGACTGGTGCCGCCACTGTGGAAAACAGTTTGGAATTTCCTCAAAAAGCTAAAAGTGGAACTGCCTTTTAACCCAGCAATTCTACTGCTGGAATTATACCCTAAGAATCCCAAAACACCAATTCAAAAGAACCTATGCACCCCAGTGTTCATGGCAGCACAATTTACAATAGCCAAGTGCTGGAAGCAACCTAAGTGCCCATCAATAAATGAGTGGATCAAAAAACTACGGTACATTTATACAATGGAATACTATGCAGCAGAAAGAAAGATCAAGCTACTACCCTTTGCAACAGCATGGATGGAACTAGAGAGCATTATGCTAAATGAAATAAGCCAGGGGTGAAAAGCAAATGCCGTATGATCTCACCTGTAAGTGGAACCTAATCAACAAAACAAGCAAGAAAAATATACTGAACCAGCAACACTGAAAGAAAAAACAAACTGACAATAATGAGAGGGAAAGAGGGAGGGGGGTAAGGGGAAAAGAAGGAGAAGGGTCAAGTCAAGGAACACGTATAAAGGACCCCTGGACAAAGCCAAAGTGGGGAAGGATTAAGAGTGGGAAGTGCGGGTGGAGGGGTGGGGCAGGGGAAAGTGGTGGCAGAAAAATGGAGACAAATTGTATTTGAACAATAAAAAAATTAAAAAAACAAAAAAAAAAGAACAGTTGTTTGAGACAAAACTAGCCAAGTCCCCAGGCCACATGGAGACTCAGTAACTCATGAGAATGAAGTATCTTGTTTGACTGTCTCCAACTTGACTTGCCATTTAATTATGCTATTGCTTAAAATAATGAAGATTCAAATAAGAAAAAATATCTACTGCACAACTTTCACTGCTGATTCAACTTAACAACAGTTATTTTGTGGGTTGTGATATCAATGTCCAATTATTATAGCCAATTTTGCCATGTTTTTCTTTAAAGTACCGGGAAATTGTAAAGTACAGGAGGTTGTGAGAAGAGACAGGGATCCAATATCCTGGAAATGTGTATAGGAAAGCTGAAGAGGCAGGAATCTAATTAGTTTGGTCTAAAAAAATTAAAAAAGAAATAGCTGTAATTTGTTTTTCTCATTACACATTTAGTGTTAGAAATAAACAGCTACTCTTAGACTGATGCAAGAAAAGAATGTAGCAGAGCAATCTTTGAAATATTTTGTAAAAAAGAAATTGAAGGAGTATTCTACTTTCAAAGAGTTCCCATGGTGCTGGGCTGCAGATTATATGATTTGTAAGAACAGATAGGAATATCAGATATTAACTAAGAATTTAATTAAAGAGAATGAAACTAATGAACCGCAGATAAGACAAATTACATAATTTGAAGAGGATAACATTAAATTGATTATTATTCTACAACTAAATATTCAGAAGAAAAAGCATACTGTTCACAAATTTTTTATTTATGTTTCTTCTCAGACATTAATAAAAAGGAATAATTATTTTATGTTAGGCTTTGTTGATAGTATTAACACATTCAAATGTTTGCTATTCAAATGTCAGCAAGCTATCTCTGGTGAAAATGGATGCCTTGAGAAATAAAAATTCACTTTCATATGTTGATTAACTTTCAGCTACCAAAAGTTGAACTTGTTAATAAGCCAGAGATAAATTCAAATTGAAGTTTAATAGAGTATTTGCTAATAATTCTTCTTTGCCATTAGCACGAACTATATAGACTTTTAAACTATGACATAAGAACTCATGGACTCCCAGATGCTTTGAAATTAACAAACCAATCAACAGCCTTTTACTTCCCTCCTGGAGGCAATATGTTAGCATCCAACTGGTGAGAGTTCAGGCTGCAACATTTCTCTGCAGCCTGAAATTTGGTGCGCCTTCTCCTCACACAGTTTCTAAACCACAGCTGGGATACATGGAATTATGTGTGTAGCCGTTGAAGCTCAAAATAAAAGGAGTCAGTCACATGCTACAACAGGAACAAACCTGGAGGACACTATGTTTAAATAAGCCAGTCACAAAAAAGACATTTACTGTATGATTCTACTTATATAAAGTATCTAAAGTAGTCAATTCATAGAGACAGAACAAAGAAAGCTGGCTGCTGGGGCTGCTGTGGTGGGGAGGAGGAAACAGGAAGTTGTTCAACGGGTGGAGATTTTCAGTTTCGGAAGTTGAAAAAGTTCTGGAGATCTGTTGCACAACAATGTGAATATACTTAACATTAGTGAACTGTATTCTTAAGAATGGTTAAGATGGTAAAGCTTTATGTTGTGTTTTTACCATAATTTAAAAAATTTTTAAATAAAAATAAATGAAAGAAGTGACAGGCTTAAGAGAAACACTTTCAAACAATTCAACAAAAACTAACAAAGGCCACTGAAATGGCAGCCATGGAGGAAAGGGAAAGGCCAGGATCCTTCAGTCATGTAGCTTTAATTTACTTAGCTGAAACAAATGAATAAAGGCAAGAGGCAAGGCCTGATTCTACTTCTTCCTGTTCCTTCTCATTTAAGTTAGAAGAGATTTTATAGTTATCTGGTCCAGATAACCACAGGGAACTGGAGTTTCTTCCACACATCCTGCCACACGGCATATTTCAGTCAATATCTGAACACCTCTGTGACAAGAAAATCACCACCTTGTGTAAGATAAGATGTACTATCTTATATATGAAATATGTGCAGCATTTAGTGGGTATTTAATAAATATTCTTTTAAAGTAACATTAAAAGCTTTCAGGATATCACTGACATCATTTCTCTAAATATAAATGACAGAAGCCAAAAAAACCATTTTGACCCTATTATTAACTGAGCAAATTAAATAAGAGTTGAATGAATATACTATTTTTAAAATCTGTAGGTCTTTTACATCTGAGGTATTTATACTGATGAGCACTCAACAGATACTACTTATTGACTCAACTACTAACTATACTTCAAACAAAGGTTATCAATTCAAAGTATTTTTAAAAATAATTTCCAGCAAGTAGCTTAGCAGTCTCTATTTAAATTTTATAAGCAGTTAAAAATTAAGATATAACAATATTACTTTATTACCTCATCTGATTCAAAATTGACCCCTTTAGCTGTTTGGCTCTGGGACATGGAGTTGCTTGAAAATGATGATGTGTTCGACCACCTGAAGCAAAAACATGGGAAAACAAAGAAAATGAACCAGAGAATTCAGCAAAGATGCCTTTCAAACCAAGTTTTTCACTCTAGTAGCAGCCATGAATAAAAATAACACATTCCTTTCCATCTACATGAGAGGCAGTAAAAACTTACTGGTAAGGAAATAGACTCTGAACTGCAGCTTTGCATTTGCTAGCTATGTGACTTTAGGCAAGTTACTGCCCCTCTCTGTGCCTCCATTTTCTCAGCTGTAAAATGAGGATAATTTTTTCAAGATTCAGTGTGTTAATATACTTAAACATTTAGATCCATGCCTGACACCTGAAGCACTACACAGACGCTTTCTTATATTATCACTCTAGTGTCTACTATTGTCCCCCACTCCTGCAAATTGTGGCAATATTGAAATATTGTTTCATTCAAATCTCAGCTGTGTGTCTGTCGCACAGGGACCCCCAACCCTGTGGACCAGGCTGCACAGCTGGAGGTGGGCAGATTAAAGTCAAGGGTTGGGGCAGGGCCGCGGCGAGGCAAGGAGACGTTGTCTGCTGCCACAGTTGCTCCAGACTGTCCCCTGCAGCCCATATGAGCCCCACCTCAGCCATGATGATCCTTGGCTTCCAGAGCAGCCACTCGGACTTCTTCGGGCCCTGGAAGCTGACAGCTTCCATGACCCACATCATTAAGTACGCAGACGTGGAGAAGTTAGCTGATGAATTGTATATACCATCCCTCCCCAAAATGGTGTTTCGAGACGTTTTAAAAACCCAGCATTGTTCTGGCTCTGTGATCAAGTTCAATGCTACAAATGATTTAAGATGTGTAAACAGCTATCAAGGAATGCTCAAAGTAGCCTGTGCAGAAGAGTGACAGGAAAGTAGGATGGAGGGTGAACACTGTAAGGAGGTTATTAAACGACATGATCGGACCTATAGGGCAGATTACAAGGGAACACTACTTGGAGAATCATTCAAGTGAGTGAGAGTACCAACAACAGATCATATAGATACAAAGAACCTGAAAGCCAGAGAACAGATTAAGTTTTTTGAAGAAATTCTCCTGTTTGAGGATGAACTTCATAATCATGGAGTTTCAAGTCTAAGTGTGAAAATGAGAGTAATGCCTTCCAGTTTTATCCTACTGTTGCAGTTTTGTTTTTTTTTTTTTTTTGAGAACCCATGGAGTGCTTATCATGAAACTTTACCATGAGGCGGACAAGACCTACATGTTACGAGAACATACATTACGAGAGAGCAAAATTGCTAATTTAATACACATTCTGCCTTCCTTCTTCACGAGCCAGTGAAGTAGCACAGTATTTACCAATCAAGGAGGCAGTTGGTAAGAAGCTAGTATTTCCAGAAAGAATGACCATAGTTCCACAGACTCACAAGAAAATGGACCTGTGGAATAGAACGTGACATACCACAAGCGCACCGTGGAATCTGATGGAGACCTTGACTATGTGGATGGGGGTATTTGTATTACGAGAATTAACTGCCTTGTCTATGTGCAGATTTTCAGTAGCCTTAAAGGAAAAAAATAAAAGACTGCTGCAGGCAAAAAAAAAAAAAAATAGTCAAGTCGGAATATCCTGAATTTGCCACAAAAGCACTGAAAAGCCTGCTTCCATTTCCAACATCCTATCTTTGTGAAGCAGAGTTTTCTGCAGTGGCAGCAAACAAAACAAGATTACGGAGTAGACGGGACATAACTGTCCATGTCACTGTCTCCCACCACCCCAGAAGGGCCATCTAGTGTCAGGAAAACAAGCTCAGGGCTCCCACTGACGCTGCATTATGGTGAGTTTATATTTCATTACATATTACAATGTAATAATAATAGAAATTGCACAATAAATGTAATGCACTTGACTCATCCTGAAACCACCACCAACCTCCCCTGCCCGCCCCCCACCGCCAGGCCACAGAAAAACTGTCTTCCACGAAACTGGTCCCTGGTGCCAAAAAGGTGGGTGATGGCTGCTATAACAGATAAAAGGATCTTAGGGAAGGCTAACCACTTTCTAGAGTTGCCTGTTTGTATAATCTGTGTTCAATCCAAATCAAATAGCAAGTATTTACTAAGCGCTTGCTCCTTGCCAAATACTCATAGGTCCTGGGAAATATCATTGAACAAAAAAATCATGATTCTTACCCTTATGAAGCTTAACTTGTGGTAATGGAACTATATTCCTGTGTCTTTTTTTTTTTTTTTTAGATTTTATTTTTTTTTTATAAAGAAAGTAAGGGAGGGAGATAAACATCGATGTGCGAGGGACACATTGATCAGTTCCCTCTCACACACCCCCACATAGACCTGGCCAACAACCCAGGTATGTGCCCTGACTGGGAATTAAACTGGTAACCTTTTGGTTTACAGGCCAGTGCTCAACCTACTGAGCCACATCAGCCAGGGCTTTGTTTTGTTTTTGGTTTTTTTCTTTAAAGATTTTATTTATTTATTTTCAGAGAGGGAAAGGGAAGGATAAAAAGAGGGAGAGAAACATCAATGTGTGGTTGCCTCTCAAGCACCCCCCACTGGGAGCCTGGCCTACAACCTAGGCTTGTACCCTGACTGGGAATTGAACCAGCAACCCTTTGGTTTACAGGCTGGCACTCAATCCACTGAGCTACACCAGCCAGAGCTGTCTTTTTATTAATAAAAAATTTAAGTCATCTTGGCTCGGGGACCAGCAAACTATGGGTCATGGGCCAAATCCAGCCTGCCTGTACTTAACTGCGAGCTAACAGTGTTCACATTTTTAAATGGTTACATTTTAAATGGTTATGTAAGTACCTACATAATGTCCTTGATTTTGCCTCTTGGTCTGCAAAGCCTAAAATATTTACCATACATTTGACCCTTCAGGAAAAAGTTTGCCGACTCCTGTTTTAAATGGAAAATAGTGTTTGTGAATTCTTAGCCAACTTTAAGATGCTTTGGGATGCTTTTATAGCAAAACAAATATGTCTGAAGGTCTTGTCTAGACAAATAGGTTGATAATCAAGAGTCTTAGTCTAAAGCAAACAGAAATATCCACAAGTTCTTATGCACAAAAGGAAAGGACAGGAGGATCCACTGAGCACCACAGCTTTAGAGGTAGAGGATCAAGGAATTTATCAACTGATTCTCCTGGGGAGTCTCCATCTCTCTGTACTTGACCTAAGCAGGAAGTGGTTAGTTACTGACTTGTTTCCAGGAAGGAGCAGATCATCAAAAGCATAAAGCCAAAGTGCTCAGGTGACGGGTTAATGTGTTGTTGTTGGGGTTTTGGGAAAGGTAAAAGGTAATGGAAAGAAATGCCCACTGAGACCTGACTCTACCTCCTGATTTCTCCCTAGAATAACCAGTGAGGCCCAGAAACAAGCCAGGCACCTATGACAAACTTTGACTCATTTAATCATAGCAAGACCCCTAATTCTGTTTTGACTGCAGGGTTGAAGAAATGGGCTTTTGTCTGGGATGTCAAATAGTGTTTGATTTGATTAGCCTTGTGTGGCTCGAAAATAAGGAAATGGGAGTTGTCAAATCGGGAGCCAGGAGTGTAAGTTTTCTGCATTTTTGTTCAGATATACTTGTTGAAGCCGTAAGTTAGAATTCCTGTCTAGAGATGTTCAGCCGGTAAGTCAGGTGTAGCATGCTATAAGCATAAGGTAACATGTTAGATTGGCCTGAGACTATGCCTGGCACATAACAGTAGGTCAAAAATGTTAGTTCTTGCCACTGCAAGGTGTAATAGAACCCCTCAGTCTCTTCTCCACTCAGCCAGATGGAGCTGGGTCTTCTTTCACTTGCTGCCTCGAGGAGAGGGGTGGTTATTCTCTGCCAGCTCTATCAAATCTGAAAGGGTCTTCTTATTCCCAGTACAACAATGGAAGAATTTGCAAGGCTAAGTTCTATCACAGTAAAATTTCAACATAAGTATAACCTCCGCAGAGGCCTTGCCTGATCACCCTTTCAAAGCGGATGTTTGTGGCCGATGACATTACTTTGCTGCTATACCCTGATGATTTCCTTCAAGCATCTGTTGATCAACTCAAATCTCATCTACCTTCCCTGTAAAACCTTTAATGACACTGTTTATAAAAGTTCCACACATAATTATATACTGATTCAATCATCCTTTAATGGATTGAAATGTGTTCATGTCTCCTTTCCACTATAATTTATGTTGCCTAAAAGCAGTAAGCTTATTAAAACATTATGTCCCCCATCAGACCTGACATAATGCTCACAGAGAACATAAGTATAAAAAAAGCTGTTGATCTTAACTGAGCTTTACAGTTAAGCTGTATTCACCTAAAATGTTAACACAGAGGAGAAAATGTAGAAGGCAAAAAACCAAAAGGACAGAAAAGCATGCAAGTACTCTGAGATGTCAGAGAAAGTTGACATGATCCTCTTCTCAGTGTTTAGCAGAGCACCCAGTGTAGCTTAGTCCATAAAAATATGATGGTGGAGTTGAAATCAAGAGATATCGAAGTATCGTATTAACAAAATACAAAACTATTTTCTGTTAATTGGAGAGAATATTAATAACAAAATACAAAACTATTTTCTGTTAATTGGAGAGAATATTAATACTCCATCAGGAAAACTATTGGGTAATAAAGACAAAAACAAAAATAAAAAAACCCACCCAAATTACAGGTTATGCAAATTTTCAATGAAAATGCTGCATCAACTCTGTAAAGCAGTCGTTGGGTCTATTTTTTACTTTTCTACATACTTGACTAGCTGAAAATAAATCTGTTAAATACCTGTGGCACAGAAATATGTGTAAGTAAAATTCTGGATAATTTTTAATTTTTTCAGATGTTTCTTTTTGCAGGAAGTCAACGCACCTACCTTTGACCTGCTTTTGAAGTGGTAGGAAAAATGTCTTCTTCCATATCTGAGTCATCCACCTCAATCACCTAAGGGGGAAAAACAAAGCAGCAAGTAGCTCTAAATAGAAATGAATAAAATAACTGAGTCTCAAGTTGTTTTTTTTAAAAATATATACAAAAAAATCACAATAAGGGAGGCAGAAATCATGTAATCAGCAACTATGAAAACCAGAGCGCAGCCTGGGCCCCCACCAATGTCACTCTTCATTCACCAGTAGCATTCCATACAACATGTGCGGCTTCACTTCCCTCTTGGTCGCCAGGGCAGCCTGGATACCTAGAGGGACACACAGTTAGCCTGGTGGGCGACTCACACAGGGCCATCTGCAGAGTGCCCTGGGATTTTCTAATGAGGAGTTTGATCATCAGTGTTCCATCTCAAATTTTACATGAGGTGTAAGACTGGGCGGGAAGCACCAAGTATCTATCTATCTGTTCCATATATTCCTGTTAAATACCATTTGTTGGGTTTAAGCCTCAGAACAGATACTTGTGATTATTGATTCTAACATCCAAAATGCCACCATTCATCTACATTTTGTGTTATCTTGACACTTAATATACACATTTGCTATGTCTTTATCTACGATAAAGCCAAGGGCAAAATACTGGAAAGGTAGCACCCTGAGACCTTCCCCTCCAGGGTGACAATGAACTATTTATTAATCAAAAGTCATCAAGCACAGTTGTACAAGTGGCTATAAATCTAGTCAATATTCCTGCATTTTGTCCATAAAGCTCTCATAAGATTCCCTTATGTGCCTTGAAGCAATCAAATGCATTCAAGACTCACCTAATCTACCACTGTGTAACCAGGATCAAAAAAATGGGGTGGAAAGGGGATAAGATACTTTGGCATGACTTGTTCTTTTCGAATCCATATTCTTGCCTGATAACAGAAAAATCTAGAAGGGAAGATACCTTGCAAACATAATGATAATTTTGTTTTCAGATATAATCTTGAAGAATTAGAAGGCAATAGTTAAAAATACTGAAATAAAGCTCACAATAAAAGTTAGCACTAGTATACCCACATATAAAATAATAGAAAGAAGCAGGGGAAAAGAAAGATGAAGAGAGATAAAAAGAATGAGATCAGAATCAGGACAGAGAAGAAGTTTTCTGCAAATGGTGGTAATCAATTGTGTCATATACTTCAGAGATCAAGAAGAATAAAATTTGAGAAAAAGCTGCTGAGGCAGTATGATACAGAACAACGATTCCTATCCCAAAAACATTTAGAAATGTCTGGAGACATTCTGATTGTCAGAGCTACGGGGGTACTACTGGCATTTAATGGGTAGAGGCTGAAATGTTGCTAAACATCCTAAAATGCACAGGACAGTCCCTCAAAACAAAGACTTACCTGGTCCAAAATGTCAATAGTGCTGCTGCTGAGAAACCCTGATTTAGAGGGAAGGGTACTGACCTGAGAGTTAAGACACATAACATTCTGAAAGTGAGGTAACAGGAGAGTCAAGCCCATATTGGACTCTTCTTGGAATACAAAGGAAGAACAGAAGAGGCCTGTGTTTTATCTAGAGCTGAACACAGAGGTCCTTAGACTCCAGCCTTTTAGTTTCTTGAGTCTAGCTTCAGCCATTAACACACAAGCCAGAGTTATGAGAATATACATAGCAAAAGGAAGCCAGGCATAAATAAAACCTTTATATACACTGAACTCCCACCTTCTATATTAGTATTCTATGCATGGGCCCTTTTGGTTTAACACTGTTATCCTTTAAAATATTACTAGATACATACATTTATGGATTTATAATCATGTGATCTATTATTTTAAAAAAGGGAGGAACAAAAGAATCCTCGAAGCCCTATCTAGACAATTAAAGTTCTCTCCAGCTTTAATGTTCCACACTTCTTTTATCTACTTTGTCAGTCAGAGAAAAAACAATTTATAATTTAGAATTATTAAAACACAACTATTAAATGTTTTTTCTTACCTCTGAATAATTCTTGGTAGCAACATTTCGTGAGGGCTGCTGTCTTACAGATTTAAAGGCTATAATGAAAAAGATGAGATACCCATTATGCTGTTCTTAAAATAACTTAGAAAAATTTGCACATTTCTTCAGCTAAAAATTTTCTAAGTCTTACCTGCAAAGTCCCTTGATGACTGATTATAAAACCATTTATATTTTTTAAAATCTGAAGGGAGGTACAATTATATGTTCAAATAAATCAATGCTTAGCTGCCAGTTTCATATATCTTGGCTTATTCAAATACAGTAACAAGTTGTGTTCAAAAAGACACCTACACTAAACATAAATATATATATAAAAAAGATTGTATTTATTTATTCTTAGAGATGGGGGAGGGGGGAGAAAGAGAAGGGAAGGGGGGAGAAAGAGAAGGAGAGAAACATTGTATGTGTGGGAGAAACATGGAACAGTGGCCTCTCGCTCATGCCCCAAATGGGAATCAAACCTGCAACTTTTCACTTTGCAGGATGACGCCCAACCAACTGAGCCACACTAATCAGGACACCTACAATAAAAATATCTTATAGAAAAATACCTGAAGGATAAAATCTTATCACCTAGGTAATCCTCCTAGTGTCTCCCTTCTCTTACAGTTGGCAATACCCTTCCCTGTGTCTATGTTAGGAGCTCTGGTTCCAGTAGGAGCTTTCTTATTCTCCTCTAGTTTGTTAACCATACTCAGTACTTATGAAATAGTATAGAGGGGAGTTCTAGAAAACAGTATACCTTTTATTCCATGATAAAACTTTACTTTGAATTCTTACTTTTTTAACTTTATAAACTTGGTTAGAAACAGGAAGCTTAGGCAACTTTTTTCCAAGCCCTAAACTGTGATATTATGATTTTACAGTAAGAAATATACAGGGGTGGGCAAAAGTAGGTTAATAATAATAAATACAGTAATTAACAAATTAGTAATACAAGAAAAAACTGTTTTGGATACTCACAACTATAGCCCCACCCTGTATGTTTGGCTTTGTTTCTGGCACAGAACCCCTAAAACCCTTTAAATTTCCTAAGTGATGACAGCTATAAAGGTATCTTTTGTTATGTTAATTTGGTGACCTTAGGACTGTGCCTAAAGTTGTAGGCTGGTTACCAGGGAAGCCAACCAAGAACAGAAGGCTGGAACTTCAGTTCCATTCCCTGATTTCTGGGGAGATGGGCTGGAAGTTACATCTGCCACCAATGGCCAATGATTCCAGAGATTTAATGAACCGTGCCTACATAAGGAAGCCTCTATTAAAACCCAAAAGGAAGGGGTTTGGAGGGCTTCCAGGTGGGGAATCAGAGCACTTCCATGCACCCCCATGCCAGGTCCCAAGCTCCCTTAGGACACAAGCTCCTTCATGTACCTCTTCATCTGCCTATTGATTGGTATCCTTACAAAGTAATCTAGTAAGTAAACTAGTTTCCAGAGTTCTGTGAGCTGCCTTAGCCAAATTAATCAAACCCAAGGAGGGAGTCATGGGAACCTCTGATTTACAGAAAGTCAGTGCCAAAGCACAGGTAACAACCTAGGTTCAGACTGACATCTGAAGTGCAGAGGGGCAGTCTTGTGGAACTGAGCCTTCGACCTGTGGAATTTGATGCTTTCTCCAGGTATACAGCATCAGAATTTAATTGAAACACAGCACTCCCAGGTGGTGTCTCCAGAGAATTCCTTGGTGGTGTGAGGAACCCACCAGCCCCTGCCCCCAACACACATTACAATTGGGTATAGAGTATTAAAAAATCTAGGATAAATTTCAAACAGCCATTAAATATTTGTTTTCTCCTAAGCCTTACCAGTTTCCTAATATAAAATAAAGCCTCCCCAAGATGACCCCCAAACCAAATAGGGCAAGAAGAAGGAAAAAAAAGAGGGCTTGAAAAATTAAATGCTCAAGAAATCCCACAAAACCCAAAATTCTCCCAGTCAGAACACTCAGGAATCTTTCTACGTAGCCTAAATGTATGATTTGTTCATTTTTCCTATTCCAGGCTCTCTCCCCAATTTGTGATGTCTACCTGCAGGAAGAGAAGAAGGGCAGAAGCAGAATTCTAGCTACCCTCCTCTACAGTGGCCTCACAGCCTTACTCAAAAGGCTGGATAGGACAACTGACTAAAAAAGTCTGTTATCATGATTCTTTCAAAAACATTTCTGCTCAGGTTAGTTACTAATTGACTCCTCAAACTCTCAGATCCTTGAAAATATGAGCCTTCCTTTCTTTTTATCCCCAGTAAATAGCAAAAGAGGAATAAAAGTTTGTGAGATAGTGTTGTCAGAAAATAAACAGAGTTTTGTTAGGAAGGCAATACAATATAGAGGTAAAGAGCTCTCGTCTTAGAGTCAGACTCATTTTGACTTGAAGCTGGGTGACTATGGATGGCCAAGTTGTCTGGTTTAAGTCTCAGTTTCCTCATCTGTAATATAGTGTTAATAATATTTCATGCAAAAATTTGTTGAAAGAATAAAAAATGGTAGTTAATTGCTTTGGCAAGTGTCCAAAACTAGTAGGTATTCCCAGAATGTTGCCAGTAATAGTAGTAGTAAATGTATTAGTAGCAGTGCTAGCCACAGTGGTAAACTAAATGCAAGGACAGAGGCTTCAGAAGTGTCTTTTATTTGTTTGAGTAACCATTCTCTGCAAACAAATCTCAATGGGAAGTTCTGGGCTGTCAGCTTTTATTTACAACCACTACTGACTTTAAATTATTATCTACCTTTCCCAATAAAATTCCAGTACAATAAGAAATCTCTTCACTGCATGGAGCTTGTCATAATAGAATCTGACCTTTATTTATCTCTTCATTTTTCCATTTATAGTAGGGACCTAAAGTTACAGTTTTAAAGTTGCTTTCATCCCAAAGTTATGGTAACTATAGTTAATACACCATGGTTATTTTGTCAAAGCAACACCAAATCTATTCTGATATAAATTTTTTCCACGTATGTATCAAAAAGTCAACTTCGCATTTTCAAAAAAAGGTCCAATGTTGAAGGTGATCAGTTAAACTGCAAAACCGTTAGACCAAATGAATTATATAAAAAACAAGTTTACACTAATTTATAAAATATCCATTTTCATAAGTTTATTATAAACATTGCCACTACCACTAACAGCAGCAATCACTTGATTCTTACTAACTTCTGTATTCAGCAATGTATATGCATAGGTTTGTTTAATAACTTAGAACTACTCTGTGAAGTACTACACTGCCAATTTTATAGCTAAGAGATCTAAAGCTTAAAGGATAATAATAGTTTATAGTTACTGGGGCATAATATGAATAGATACTACGCCAGGTATTCTCATGCATTTTCTCATTAATCCTCAGAATAACCCAAGGAGGTCAATGCAATCATCACCTGTCTTACAGATGAAAACACTGAAGCTTAGAGAAGGAAAGCTAAACTAATCTGCTGGAGGTCACACAGCTAGTAAATCAAGTCAGAATTCAAAACAAGGTCTTTCTGAATACAGAAGCTTGCTTTCAACTTTTATGACTCACAATCTCTAAGTAATTTTTATTCAGCCATTCTAAAGTATTTAACAAATATCTACTATGTGCCAGGCACTGTGGATACAATGATGAACAAAATAATGCAATCCCTGAACTCCAGGTGCTTATAGTGCAAGGACATGAAGCCAGCAGATGAAGAGCTGGCTGACCCCATCAGATCTGACTCTAGAACATATGTTCTTAACCACACCATCTGTTGGAAAAGGCATAAGATTTTCCCCTGGAACATAATTCAGGAAATTTTAAGTTTCATATTAAGTTGGTTTACTTACACAGCCTCCTTTTATAAAGGAGTATTATTAGCCATGCCAATTTTAAAGCACTATAACTGGTCTCCTATTTTCTCTACACAGGAAGCTTTATTCCACATTATCAATGGACAACAGAGCAGGAGTCATTAAAGGATGTCTTTGAAAGTCTCACTGGCAAAATGATTTTGAAAGGAGCTGATGTTAGAAAGTGGAAAAAAAAAAAAAAGCTCACAAAATCCCTATGAGACAGAGTTCTGGCTGCATAGGAGGCAGTCTGAGATGGGCTTTAAATGAGGATAATAAGGAAAAATACCTCTGTACCTGTTCATTGTAGGCTAGATTATTCAGACAAACACTTCTACTGAAAACAACCCAAATTACTACATTAAACAATCTTTTTAAATCTTAATAGCACTGAAGAGTTGATTACATAGTAAGGAATTATCAGGCCAAAAACTGAAGAAAAGCTAGAACTCAGAGAGGCTCATAGAGCACAGTGCTTTTCCCCGAGGACACCTGTTGAACTGGGCAAATATTAACACTGGTTTTGATAGTTTTGTAAGGAGAGGGAGGGGCCTACCATAGTTTAAGTCCTGCCCAAGGTGGGGAGCCTAATACATTTCTTCCCTACCGTGATCTGGGACACCAATGGTTAAGGAGAGAAGCAGACATAAATAGGATTTTACAATTACATAATCCCCTGGCTGGTCCTCAAATCATAATTTTAAATACAAAGGGTCTAAAAGTAGTGGTACCCCTAGAAGCCCAGCAAAACAAATATGAATCTACTCTGGAGGAAGACATCTTCATCCAAGATCTCAAATTATTCCTACTGTTAACTTTTGGGGGACTGCAGATAACAAAGCATACAAAGAAACAAGTCACTGTAAACAAGAAATAGCAATCAGAAACAGACAATAGGAAGAGGCCAAAGACATTTAGATATTGGACACAGAATAAAAAAATACATATCCTTACTATGCACGCTCAAAAAAATTAAAGACAGGCTTAAATATATCTGCAGAGAATTTTTTAAAAACAGTTAAAAGTGACATAGCATATTTAAAAAGAACCAAATAGAATTTCAACCCCCAAACCCCCAAAAATGAAAAAATCCAGGAGACAGTTTTAAGAATAGATGAGTAAACTGGAAGACTGATCAAAAATAATTACTCAGAAAGCAGCATAGAAAAATAAAACGACAGAACATACAGAGGGATTGAGTCATGGGAGAACAAAGTGAAAAGGTCATACATTTAATATTTTATTAAAGACCCAGAAAGGAGGAGAAAAAGAATTAACACAGACTTAATATAGAAGGGAAAACAGTTAAGGAATTTCTAGAAATGATGAAAGACACCAATTCACAATTCATAAAACCCAGTAAGTCCCAAGCAGGATTTAAAAAAAAAAAAATTCCCATAAAGATTCGTCATAGTGAAATTGCAGAACACCAGACAGCCAGCTGGAGGGAAAATAGATTTAAAAAAAAAAAAGGCAACAAGCTTAACTAATTTCTTAACACCAACAATGGAAACCTGAAAACTCACTTTAAGTGATTAATTCTACCCACTGGTGTCAAGGAAAGCTTTACATAAAACAATTAAAACTATGCTAAAAAAAGGGGAGTTTGGGCTAAGGTAATGGTGGGTGACTTATTAACACATATGCCTGCATGTTACATGCTAACGAATTTATGGTGGATCATATTTTATTCACTCTACTTTTCTAACTCCCTCTGTTTTCTTTTTTTAAATAGCAATAACTAACATTATATAAATGCCTACCAACTGCCAGTTTTTTGCTTTTATTTTTCAGAATAATCCAATATGGCAGGGATTATTAGTCCCAATGTACATGTAAACAAACCTGGAGAATGCGTGACCTGTCCAAAGTCACACAGCTTTCACGCGGTAAATTCAGCCACCAGGAGGCTGCCTTTTATCTTTCTTTCTCCTTCTCTGCTTTTATCTTAAATCTGCCAAGAATGAAGCAGCGCCTTCCTGGATGCCATTTCCTAAATGGCAACAAAGACATGCTTCTGAAGTCAAAAGACCAGGATCTTGCCCTGGCTGCATGGCTCAGTTGGTTGGAGCATCGTCCCCTACACCAGAAGTTTGCAGGTTCAATCCCTAGCTGGGGCACACAGCAGGTTCTATCCGCAGTCAGGATGCATACAGGAGGCAATTGATCGATATTTCTCTCCCTCTCTCTCAAATCAATAAACATATCCTTAGGTGAGGATTAAAAAAAAAAGACCAGGATTTCAGTTAGCTCTCCTTTGATAAGAATGTTCCTTAAGAGTCACTTAATGGATCTGATGTTTACTGAATATCCTTTTTTCCAGAGTGAGTTTTCCTCCATTAAATATTGAAAACTTCCTCTGCTGGAGTGACAATCCACATCCTTCTGAGGCAGCTTCCTCCATCTTTCCATTAATTGAAAGGTTATTCTGTATAATGCAAAGAATCCTCCACTGAAAACCAGTAGCTAGGTCTCTAATCTTATCTTGCTCTGGAAACTAGTACAGTGATTAACTACTGGTTCTAGGGTGTACAGACTGTGAGATCAATCCAAGCCCTAGAATTTACTAGTTGTGAGACATCGGGAAGTTGGCAATCTTTTCAAAGCCTCAGTTTCCTTTTCTATAAAACAAGGATAACTTAAGTATCTGTGCCACAGAGCTGTTGAGAAGCATGGGGTAATTGTTTCATAAATATAAGGTATTCTCAGTACTTTTAGTGGTTTTATGAACGTAAGGCAAATTGCTTAGCTTAGTTTCTCCATCTGTAAGTGATGAAGTAGGCAAAGTTGTTCTCCCAGGTCCATTTTATCAAATTAATAAAGTTAAATATCTGATTTGTTCTAGCCTTTTCCATCTATCCTCCTTGGGCTACTAGTTATTAATCTGGAACCCATGAATGGACTTCATGGGGGTCCATGAACCCTTTGAAATTGGGTGCAATTGCATATGAGTACTTAAGACACAGCTTTCTTTGGATTCTTAAAACTCCGTAACTCGAAACAGATTTAAATCACCACCTTTGAGAATATACAAATCAAATCTATTTGCTCTTCCACATGATAGGACTTAATTTATGTAAAGACTTAAATTTTTCCCAGGTCAGGTATTCCAAATTCTTTCTACCATGTTTTTTGTTTATATTATGAGGTTTTTCTTCTGAATGACTATACATAGCTGATATTCTTCTTGAAATATAGTTCCAAAGATGAGCACAGTGTTCTTGGCATGATGCAGCCAATCCCATACAGAGGAAGAACTTCCTTGATGTAGAATTGTACTTCTATTAATAATGCTTAAGACACCATTAGATTTGGACAGTAAGGCCAAACGGTACAACTCTTAATGACCTAAGTCTTTTTCACTTGGGTTGCTGCTAATGTCACATACCTCTCAGAACTCTTTTTTTGTGTATCTGATTGTTTGGATATAAATGCATTCTGTCTACCCTTAATACATTTCATCTTGTGAGATTTGGTCCAACTCTTTGAACTGTCAAAAATTAATCCTACCTATAACAGTAAATTCAACTAACAAGATCATGTAAATAAAAATATCCATATATATGGATATACTCTGAATAATAGGTAGGAAAAAATATCACAAATTTTAACATATTTTCATAAATCTGACTGATAACTTCATCTGATCTCATAAACCATACCATTTAAAATAGTTTATTAAATTTTTATACTAAATTATTACTTAAAAGTTTATAAAAATATGTCCCCTTTGTTTGAGAATGATTTTTAGAACACCAGACACAAAATTAATTCAAAGAACCCTAACCATAATTTTCCTTAAATATGCTCACATGACTTCTGTATACTACCAGTAGGGACAAAAGCAACATAAGAAAGGTAAACAATACATTAAGCAGTTCCTTCTCTCTTGACCAGTGTTGATATACTGACCAATTAATTACCTTTCCTATGTCTTGGTGGTCCTTCTATAAAAGTAAAATAATCAATTTATCTTAAGTAAGGAATTATAAATTTATTTTTAAAGCTCACACTCCCCAAGAGCTTCAAAGATTTATTTGTGTATTTTATTGATTATACTATTACAGTTCTCCCAATTTTCCCCCCTTTGCCCTCCTCCACCCATACCCCCCTTTAATCCAGCAATTCACCCCTTTAGTTCATGCCCATGGGCCATGCATTTAAGTGCTTTGGCTTCTCCATTTCCTATACTATTCTTAACCTCTTTGTACTTAACAAATTATGCTTCTTAACCCCTACACCTTTCCTCCCATTTCTCCCCCTTCCTCCTCGCTGCTGCTAACCCTCCAAGTGCTCGCCATATCTATGATCCTGTTCCTGTTCTGCTTGTTTGTTTTTGTTTTTTTAATTCAGTTGATAGCTGTGAGTTTGTTGTCATATTAATGTTCAGAGTTTTGATCTTCTTTTTCTTAAATAAGTCCCTTTAACATTTCATATAATAAGGGCTTGGTGATGATGAACTCCTTTAGCTTTACCTTGTCTGGGAAGCTCTTTATCTGCCCTTCCATTCTAAACAATCGCTTTGTTAGATAAGATTTTTATCACTTTAAATACTTCTTGCCAGTCCCTTCCGGTCTGCAAAGTTTCTTTTGAGAATCAGCTGATAGTCTCATGGGAACTCCTTTGTAGGTAATTCTGTGCTTTTCTCTTGCTGCTTTTAAGTTTCTCTTTCTAACCTTAGCATTTTAATTATGATGTGTCTTGGTGTGGTCCTCTTTGGGTCCATCTTGTTTGGGACTCTGTGCTTCCTAGACTTGTATGTCTATTTCCTTCACTAAATTAGGGAAGTTTTCTTTCATTATATTTTCAACTAAGCTTTCAATTTCTTGCTCTTCCTCTTCTCCTTCCAGCAACCCTATGATTCTGACGTTAGCACATTTGGAGATGTCCCAGAGGCTTCTTATACCATCCTCATCTTTTTGGATTCTTGTTTCTTCCTTCTGTTCTGGTTGAATGCTTATTTCTTAGGTTTCAAACCACCCATTTGAATCCCAGCTTCCTTCCCTTCACTGTTGTTTCCCTGTGGACTTTTCTTTATTTCACTTCGTGTAGCCTTCATTTCTTCCTTTGTTATTGCCATACTCAATGAGTTCTCTGAGCATCCTGATCACCAGTGTTTTGAAGTCTGCATCTGATAGGTTGGCTGTCTCTGTTTTGTTTTGTTCTTTTTCTGGAATTTTGTTCTGTTCTTCAATGAGGGCCATGTTTCTTTGTCTCCCCAATTTGGCAGCGTCCCTGTGTTTATTAGGTAGAGCTGTTTTCACTTCCTGTCTTAGGGCACTTGTTCAGTTGTATGCAGCTGGGCCCTGGGTATTCAAAAGGGTAAGGCAACCCACTTCACTGCTTCGTGGCTCTGTATACAAGGAAGGCTTGTAGAGGGGACAATGCTGATGCCTGGCTTCTGTAAGTTTGCCCAGCACTCACCCAGTTTCCAGTCACTTTACCCACATCCTGTATGCAAATGTCACCCTTCCAGCTGTTGCCCTGGTGGTGAATCCCAGCATGGGTGTGTTTGCTTATGTTCTAAATCCATGCAGTCCCGTGAAATGGACTCTCCTGAAAATCTGGCAGTTTCTTCTGCTTCCCCACTGTTTCTTAGAGCCAGAAGTTATTGAACATTATCTTCCTGGTACTGGAGCCCTGGGCTATGTGGTCTGGCCTGGAGCTGGACCTGCTTGCTCCCAAGGTATCCCTCCAGATTTTTATCCAGCGCACATGAATGTGGGACCACCCATTCTGCCACTGCCGCCTTCCCACACCACACTGTGTTCTCTTCACTTCTCCACCCCAACTCCATGTCTCTGCATCTCCTACCCGTCTGTATGAATGTGGCTTCCTTAAATCCTTGGTTATAGGACTTCCGTAGAGTTCAATTATCTGACTGTTCTGGGTGTTCTTTTGAGGTTTAGTTGTAATTCTTTTTGTGGTTATGCAAGGAGGCAAAGTATGTCTACTTACGCCTCCATCTTGACTGGAAGCCCTGAAGATCTTTTAAATTAGCATAATTTATCCTGTGACTCTAATAACCCTTTGATTCCCCAGTGATGACAAACCAATAGATTTACTAATGGGGTTTCCTAGGTCTTCCTGTGTTGGAATTTACAAACAACTGCCAGATAATAATTTGCAGTCTATACTCACCATCTATAATACACATATTTCTAGATGTTGACGTAGTAGTCTTTGAGCTTCTGCCTCGAGAAGTCTCCAGACCAGTGCCTGCTGTTAGAATAATGAGCAGTCAATATACAATACTATCACCAGCCAAGGTTTTTTTAAATACCAACAAAATGAAATCTAAATAAAGTTATGTCAAAACATAGTTTACATATTAAAAGTCAATGACATATACAAGAAGAAACACCTAGAGTTAGATCAAATTTCTGAAATGATACTTCTACTACATTTGGCTCATACTATCCCAATTAAAATTTAAGGAAAAACTTTTTCATTGTAAGGACAATGATAATAATTTTCACTAGAAAAGGAGGACTTCTATTCCTGGATATTTTTAACTAAAGTACTATCTCTTTTGCCAGCTTAAAATTCCTATGAAAAATAACTAAGAAAATAGTTTTTAAATATTCCCAGGGATGGATTTACTTAATGCACCAGGCCATCACTGGATGACTGTTTTCTATTGTTTGGACTATTTATTGACAATAGTGCTGCATTAAACAAAATGATGGCAATAAATGTTAATTATTTTAAGAAATCAAATTGTATTTGAGGGTGGTTTTTCTTTTCAAACAAATCTTATGAAGCCACTTTACAAGAATGTGATCACCTGTATTTTGTGACAATAACAAAAATATTAATTTTTATGATCTGGAGTTTTCTTCCTGCTGCCAAAGCCATTAGCTAGCCATTTCCCTTAACAGTGCATTTTCTACCTATTACTTTGTACATGTAAGAGAAAATATGACATTAAATGTAACTAAAGGTACTGTATAAAAAAACACAGTGTTCTTTTAAAAAATACATATGCATGTGTTAAAAGCAATGAAAAACCTGTGTGCATACAGCCATTCAAAATTTGAGGAAAACATACTTGACTGAACTACATTAAAGACGTGACTTTATGCACTATAAAAATTTTTTAAAACACTGTGTAACTTTATCCTAACAACAATACAATTCTGTATTTCACACTCAATGGCCACGTTATTTGTGTGCAAAAGACTATACTGTATTCAGCGCTAACCTCTTCCTCTCTGAGATCCTCCTCTTGACACTGAATTCTGTCCTCTTCCTCCTCTTCGGCCTCTTCCCCGGCCTCTTCCTTTGGTGGCTTCTGCTGGGATGCTATCATCAGAGTCACCAGCCTGTTCTGCCAAATCTGTACTCATGAAGTCATTAGCACTATAGGCAGAAGCTGAGTCATCAGACTGAGATCTGAGGGCTCTGGCCCTAGTCATGGCCTGAGGGAATAACAAGGAGAAAGTACACAGTAGTAGATAATGCAGCATCCTAAAAGTCATTAGTCTGATCCTTAACATGAATATTTAATTTGAAAAATTGTCTATACTATTTCACTAACCATGCTATAAGAGTATAAAATGAGAGAACCTCCTTCCCCCATTAATCAAATCCAATACCTATGACTGGTCAGATCAATTTACAATACTACGTGTAAAATGAGACCATTTGGAAGGTTTACCAAGGGAGAAAACATTTCACAGAATCAAAACTTTCGGAACTGGGAGGAATACTGGCAATCACCCCTAATTCAACATCACTTGTAAGAGACTGTCACCATTTGTACTACTTTGTACAATGGGCTTAATAAATAACAAGAAAAAATTTATAAACAATAGCTGTTATTTCTGGGTGATGAAAATTTTAGGATGCTTTTGTTTTCTTCTTTATTCTTAAATATTACAAATTTTCTACAATATACGTTTTCTAAAATATTACTTTTGCACTCAGAAAAGCATAGCAATAATCTCATAAATGTAAGATAACAAGAACAAAGTAAGATACAGTAACAAAAGCCTGGAAAAAGAATAAAAACCAAAAATATGCCACAAATTTTAATTTGATAAGAAAACTGTCAATAGACTAACAGCTGTCAGAGGAGGGGGCATTGCGGAGCAGTGTAAAAATGGTGACAGGATTAAGCAAAAAAAAAAAAACAAACCAAAACTCTTTAGATATGACAAGTTTGAGACTTAAAATGTTCTGATTAACTCTGAAAAGAATAGATTTTCTTATTAAAAAAAGAATAAAAGGAATGCTCCTTGATCTCCTCCCCTACACAAAAAAATTTAACAAGGAAAATAAAAATAAAACACATTTTCAGTAAAATTAGAAAATTGCTCTAACCCCAAACATAAAAATCTATGAAAAGTTAATAGATATGGTGAATATGTGACCTGGTTAAGGGAGAAGGTTGAAAAGGGTTCTGGGCAGTGTAGAGTTCTCCAAAATTGATCTATGTATCAAGAGGCCATGACAGCAGTCTTTCTTACTTGGAATGATAAATATTGGGTCTAAGGAGAGGTGGCTAGAGCATTTGCAAGCTCCCTCTAATGCCACAAAAAAAGGAGACACAGAGCTAAATGAGGCAGGCAGGTTGGAAACAGGAGTGAAGTGGGTGGGAGGGGAGAAGTAATGCAGCTTCATAATGGTGATCCTAGCTAAGTGAAACAACAGCTAAATCATTTCAGGAAGGGCTCAACATGGCATCCCAATGCAAAAAGAAAAAAAAACATTAGGGAATACAACAAAAAATATTTGAAAACAGTAGAAAAAGATTTCAATTATCTTTCCTGTCCTGGATAAAGTACACTCAATCCTCATCCTTGGATCCCATGTTTTCAAATTTACCTACTTGCCAAAATTTATTTGTAACTCCAAAAACAACACTCCAGATACCTTCTTGGTTTTCGTGGACAGGTACAAAGTGGTGAGAAGTCTTGAGTCACCTACCACACACATACACAGAGGAGGTCAAACAAAGTGACGGACTTCTTGTTTCACCTCTTGTACTTTAAACAAGTGTCCTTTCTGTAATACGTGTCACTTTTTTTCACAATTTTGTGCTTTTGGTTGAGTTTACATTTTAAAAGGCTCTACAGTGTACTGTACTGTGTTCATAAGTACAAGGCTGTAACGCGCCTTACAGAGGATACACATGTGTTAGATGAGCTTCATTCAGACATGAGTTCTAGGGCTATTGGCCATGAGTTCAATGTTAACAAATCAAGAACGTATATTAAATATAAGTATAAATATACTTATAAATACTTATATTTATACTATAAATATAAATCTTATATTTATAAGATAGACAGTCTCAACAGAGTAATTATAAAAAAATTTGAGAAAATTGCTAAATATAAATCTTATATTTATAGTATAAGAACGTAAATATAAATATAAGTATATTTAATATATGGTGTCTTTAAACAGAAACACACACGAAAAAGCTTATATATTGTTTTGTTGATGAAAATGTTACAACCAGTAGCTGGCAGGAACCTAATCCTTTATTTCCCCATGAAGCAATGGCTCAGTGCTCACTGAGTTTACACTGACTTTATATAACTATCACAAATAATAAGAACCAGCTATACATTTTTAAAAAAGATTTTAAAGAAAAAAGGAATATCTAATTACATAATTAACAAGCTAGACCTAATTGATACACATTGAACTATATACTCTGAAAATAACGTATTTCTTTTCAAGGCCCCATGAAATGTTTTAACTGATCTACGCTGGGGTGCTAAGAAAAATATCAATAATTCTAAATAGTAAAAAGAGTGTAATTACATTGTCTAATGACCATGCAGTAACATTAGAAATTATCAATAGTAAAACAAAACCCCTGACTCCAAACTACAAAACTAAAATTCTATTAACATCTAGAAATTAATGGCAATAAAGACAATGCATATCAGAACAAATAAAAACAATCACAACAATAAGTTAAATTGTTAAATTAAAGCAAAGAAATGAGAATGGAGGAAAAAGGAATCCAAAGAAAATTTTTAAAATCACAGCAGAATATTCTGCTCAATTCTAAGTAATTTGGAAAATAAGTGACCTAAACTGAGATAAGATAGACAGTCTCAACAGAGTAATTATAAAAAAATTTTTGAGAAAATTGCTAAAAGAACTATACTCCCAGGAAGGACAACAATCAGAAAATTTTCCAGGTATATTCTACCAAATGTTCAAACAACAGATAATTCCACTGCTATTTCAATAATACCAGAGCATAAAGAAAGAGGGTTTCCAAATCCTTTTTATGAAGTCAGCAGAACATGGTACTGAAAACTGACCAAGGATTGTATGCACAGAAAGAAAATTACAGTATCTTATGGCTATTAAAGCAAACAAAGAGAATCCAGGAGCATGTGGAAAGACCAGTATACCCATTACCAGGAGGTTCACAAAGTGAAACTGAAGATAAGTCAATAATAGGATATGTGTTCATATTAACCATTCACCTTATTAATAGACTACAGGAGGACACCCCCCCAGCCCCACATGCTTATCTCCAGATGCCAAAAAGGCATTTAATTCACCACCCATTCTGAATTTAAACAACAACAACAACAACAAAAACCCTCAGAAATAGGTGGCTACTCTTTTACATGACAAAAACCCTAAATGTATATACACAAACAGCGTGCACATACTTTCACATGGGTGCTCTTACAAATCAATTAAAGACCAATGCCTTAACTCACCACCACACCCCACCAAAATTTCTAGGCCAAAGATAATCAGGGTATTTCATATAAGTATGATTTACAAAACTGTCCAGACTCACTAGTAATATAAATAATATAAACTAAAAACAGCAGCAAGAAATAATTTCTCACCCTTTAGATTTGTAAAGATCAAGAGATGTAGTAATACATCAGGGCAGGATGTGGGGAAATAGCTTTCCCAAATACCGCTAGTTGGAATGTAAACTGGTGTAACCTCTTTGGAACAACTTCACAGAATCAAGTAAAATTTTAAATGCAAATGCCTTTTTATTATTTCTTGGAATGAACTGCCATCATTTCCAAATTCTGTACTTTCCCTTTGGCTAAATACTGTACCTTCATTTTTTTAACATCTCAAACTTTACATTCAAATGTATTTTAACTCTGCTTTTTCTGTGCAACAGACTTTGGAGTTTACTCTTACCTACAAAGCATATCTAAGAATTGATCCCATGAGTATAGATCTAAAGCCAATGACAAGACGATGTTTCCATATACGTTTTGTGAGATTTGAAAACATACTATCCTGAAAAGTATTACTTTTTAAAATCATATTAAACTATACATAGCATAAAAATTTACCATTTTAAGTGAACAGTTCAGCAACATTAAGCACATTCACAGTGATATACCACCATTGACTTCCGAATCCCTTGCCAACACTTTTCCACCATGCCAACTGAAATGCTATAGTTATTAAACAATAACTCCATTCCCTAGTCCCCCCAGTCCCCTGGAAATCGCTACTTTACTTTCTGTCTTCATGAATTTGACTATTCTAGGTATTTTATATAAGTGAATTCATACAATACTTGTCCTTTTGTGTATGGCTTACTTCATTTAGTATAATGAATGTTTTCAAGGTTTATCCACGTTATAGTATAAACAGAATTTCACTCCTTCTAAGACTAAATAATATTTCACTGGATATATATACCACATTTTGTTTATCCATTCATCTTTTGATAGACATTTGGATTGTTACTACCTGTTGGTTGTTGTGAATATTCCTATGAACATTAGTATAAAAATATCTGAGTCCCTGCTTTCAATTATTTGGGGTAAATACATAGAAGTGGAATTGCTAGATCATATAGTAATTCTATGTTTAATTTTTGAGGAACCCTCATACTATTTACGATACAGCCTTTAATTCATACCAGCAATGCACACGGGTTCCAATTTCTCCACCCTAAAGGGTGTAAAGCGATGGCTCATGTTTTGTTTTGTTTTGTTTTTAAATCCTCACTCAAGGATATGCTTATTGATTTTCGAGAGGAAAAGGGAGGAAAAAAAGAGAGAAACATCGATGTGAGAGTGAAGCATCGACTGGCTACCTCCCATATGTGCCCCAACCGGGGTCAAACTCACAACCTAGGTATGTTTTCTGACAGGGGACAGGGGTGACTTTTCACTCTATTTGATAGTACTTGGTATTACCATTTGAAAGAGGCTATCAACCCTGCCTCCAATTCAAATAGACCATATGATATCAGAGGCCAGATAAACTATGGACTGTGGATCAGCCTAAGAACAGTTTTACATTTTCAAAGGGTTGTATAAAAAAATTTTTTAAAGAGTACGTGACAGAGGCTATATATGGCCTGCCTAAAATATTTACTGTTTGGCCTTTTATTTAAATGTAAACTTATAATTAGAGAAAATACTTGAGAGTTTTTCTATGTGAACAAGAGACCCTAAAGCATGTTGGGTTTTTTTTTTCCTCTAAATGGAAGGGCTAATGCTATTGTTGGTTTAAATAATTTAAGCTGGGTACTAGGATTCATATTCTGAGCTAAATGATTCTGCAAAGCTGTGAATTACAGATAGGGAAAGTCTCCAACTCCATTAGTCAAGTTCTAAACAGTATTATGAGAAAGAAAAAAATTTATAACACTCCATGGCATGCGAAAAAGTTACCTGGGAAGTCCTGATTACCAGTCTTAAAATACAGCTGAAAATCTAAACCCAAAAGTTCTTTATTCTGAAAAACTCCCCTATGAAACCTGTCATGTCCTCTCCTACCTTCCTTGAATAAAATGTTCACTCTCACTCTTTAAAAGAGCAATTAAAAACCGAAAGTAGTGGCTTCAAACACAAAGGATCCACTGCAACAAAATATTTCTGCAATTTGTCCAATTAAAGGAGTTAATCACATTTAAGTCACCTAAGAACCTAAGAACCAGAAATCATTTCTTTGTAGCATTCATTCTTGCCACTTGGCAAACTCTCTTTTCTATTTCAAGGGCACTCTGTAAGATGAGTACAATATAGCAAGTGTGGTAGGGGATCCCTAATCTATATCCTCCTCCACTTAGCTTCCAAGAACCATCCTGTAAACAGTACAGCAGTTGCTTCTGTGCTTATTATTAACAGTGATTTTGGTGTGCTGCACAACAGTTTTAGCATTTTTAAATTTTTAGCCAATCATTGCCCACGCATTGTTAAACTTATTATAATATAAAATTAGGACACAGTTGGGTGGAAAAGTCTAGATTTGGGGGTAGAAATTGTCAGATTCAAATTCCAGCCCCACCACATGCCCTTCAGTTTGGCCTCTGTCTTCTCATTTGTAAAATGGAAACTGAGTCTAAGCAATGCACATAGCAAAAATTCAATAAACTCGACTTCCCTTTTTCCCTTAAAACAGTAATGAAAAAAGCCCAGTAGGTAATTAGTTCTTTTTTTTCTCCCAATACATTTATTTAAGAGAATGACTTTGATAATGAGAAATTTAGTTGACGGAGGCTCTTCATTTTGTAATCAACCACTAAAGGCTATTAATGAAAGGCACAGTGTGGGGGAAAAAACTTAATTGATACCAGTCCTACAGCTAGTAATGTTAGTTTATGTTGCAAAACTTACTCCATAGAGATAGTTTAAGTAGTACAAGGGAAAAGGTATCTTACTCCATGGAACACAAGGGGAAGATGTCTGTGAAACTTACAACGAGGCATTTAGATTATCCTAGCATATTCTTTTTAGAGAAAGGTTATTAACTGAGTTACTATAATGTTCACATTTCTACAAATTCTAATGAACTAAGACACAATTTGGGGGTGTGGGAGTGGGAGTCAAAGAACATCATGCTTTTACAAGACAAAGAAAAAAACACACCAAAAATGTCACTTCCCTATTCGTTAAAATTTCAGGTAAGTGCCATTATTAGAACAGTCTAAAATCCTAAATAGCAAGTGTGGAATATCAGAAGTGAATCGAGTGAAAGAAATCAGTTTTAGGCTTGGAAGATATTTTTAAAAGAAAAAAAAAGGGGGGCTTAGAATCTGTCTCATGGCCTATAGAGCGTATAGAATCACTTGAGAACTGATTTTTTCCTATGTCAGAATCTAAAACTGCTTGTCTTTAAAGGCTGTGGTATTACAGTAATAGTCATCAGTATACCAGCTATTAAAACAGGGATTGCTTTGGAAGAGTTCAAAGGGAAAAAAGGCAAACTGAGAATCTTATCTCCTTAAGCAAGGGTTCTTTTCCATTTTTTTCTTAGTGTCTCAGATAGTGACTTTTACCAAAGGAGTGTGCTTAAAATAAGGCAAAAAGTATTATTTAAAAGGAAGGAGGGCCCTGACCAGGGGGCTCAGTTGCCTGCAGCGCTCTCCTGTACACCAAAAGGTTGTGGGTTCAATTTCCATTCAGGGCGCATACCTAGGTTATGGACTCTGACCCGGTCGAGGAGCGTATGAGAGGCAACCGATCAATGTTCTCTCTCACATCGATGTTTCTCTCTCTCTCTCTCTTCCTCTCTCTAAAATCAGTAAAACATATCCTTGGGAGAGGATTAAAAAATGAATGGATAAATGGAAGGAAGGGGGGAACTCCTGCCAATTCCTTTTTTTATTGTAGCACAGAAAATAGTGAAACTTGTACAAGTTAATTAGAGGATGTGTCGAGTGCTTCAACTCTTTCCAATTCAAGACTTGTCAGCTACAGTTCTGAAATATTTAGGAAACCAAAATGGATGAGTAGGACAATTGTACTAATTCCGTAAGGATAAAACTTCAGGTCATAAGATCTATTATTTTCTTTCTATATATGTCTGTCTCGCCTATTAAGCTGAGAGTCTCTGGCGGACACAGACCATACCTTTTTCATAGTTGTATTCCCAATATAAAGCAGAATGGCTACCCATAACAGGTCCCATACAAAATGCTGAATGAAAGCCATCAAGGTAAAATCTCAAAAGTAAATAGTTTATAAAATTAACTTTAAATACATAGCAATAAAAAAAAATACTAAGGACAATAAGAAAATAGGAAGATATATTTTAATTGTGAATTCACCAAGTACCAGGTAGGGGCTACAACTGAATCAAATGGCTGCCAACTTCAAGCTCCTAAACTCCAAAGAGACTGAGAAGACAGTAACGATGGTGATCAGGCTAATTTCAACATTTTGGAGAAGCCAGTGGACACTGTACATTTTACCTATGATAACATTGCTAAGCAAAATACTAAGTTTCTTCCTTTTTGCTCAAAATAATATCAGCTCAGAAGGGTAAGGTTTTATCTTTTACTGATACGATGCTCTGTAACAATTAGGTATTATTTTGATTAAGGGCTCTTGTTGTACATGCTAGCCCCACCCACAAACACACACAAATACATTTTAGACAAGAGCAAAAGGGAAAAAGAGCATCAACAAGCAGATTATTTGTAGGCTGCACTGGAATAAGTCAAAGGCACCTGTCCACAGCCTCTCCTGCTCAGTCCTATCCACCATGGATTGGCTACTCTAACTAAACATACTAGTTATTGTAATTTAACAAACTGACATGTAAGCATAGGAATTCACAGCAGAAAACTTACCTCTCGAACTTCATCGTCTTCTTCATTAGTATTTTTTTGTCTGCTTTCTCTGAAACGACGTACCTAGGTTACAACAGAGTAAATAACAAACAGGTTGCTTACTCCTGTTATGTAAATTATAAAATAATGGGCTACAAGTTACAAGTGATTAACAACAGATGCTTTCCATTACAACACAAAACTTGGAAACTTAAGTAGTTTTGTCTCACACAAGACTGATTAAAGAAATCGTATTTTCCCAGTGACTTACAATAAAATTTCAGAAATGTACTTAAAAAATTACCCCAATCAAAACTGTTATTACCTGCTGCCAAAATGTTCCATGTTATTGAAAAACAGTCTGTCAGACTGCAGAGGAAAAGAATCCTAATGTCTTACGGGTTTTATACTTCAGCGAGAGAGAGAAAAAATCTCACTTTTAAAAGGTCTGAATTATGTATTATACTGCTTAAACCACTCCTCAGCATCTAGCTGCAGGCATTGAGGTACTCTCTGAAATGGTATCTGAAGTGGGTGGGGCCCTGAAGACTCATTTTATCAACAGTCAACCACTGAATGTTTGCTGTTTGCGGACCATGGTCCGGGTATCATGAAGGATATTAAAGATTCCTTTTTTATTGGCTTAAAAGGGTCTTCAGATATAGTTATGTAGTTAGAGAGAAGCTCCACTCATTTAATAATTTACTCAGCTCATATTTATTAAGCAACTACTATTCACCGAGCGCAACTGTAGGAATTGAGAATACACCAATGAACCAAAGAGTAAAAAATTTTGCCTTCATGGAGCTTATAATTTGTGTGTGTGTAAGGAAGGGTAGTCAATAAACAAAATAAGTTGAATTTCATTTTTTTTAAAGATTTATTTATCTTTAGAGAGAGGGAAAGGAGAGAGAAGGTAAAGAAAAACCGATCAGTTGCCTCTTGCATCTTCCCCAATGAGGGACCAGGCCACAACCCAGGAAAGAGCCCTGACCAGGAATGGAATCTATGACCTTTTGCTTTGAGGGACTATGCTCAACCAACTGAGTCATGCTGATCAGCAGTTAATTTTGTGTTTTAGAAGGCACGTAGGATCAAGTTAATTAAAACTAAACTAGGAAAGCTCTATTTTTATCTCTGAGGAGCCTCTGGCATTCTCACAGCCAGTTTGTTTACTGATGGTTTTCAATCTACATTAAAAATTGGACATTACTTGATTCTGTGACCAGAGGGGCATAAAAGTCCCTCTGGGAACTTCTACACAGATCTTGGTGTTCAATTCAGGGTACGCTATATGCAAATAGGACTTCTAATGCTTATTCTTCCTGTACTATATATATCCTTTGCCTTATTGTCTTATTCTTCCTGTACTATATATATCCTTTGCCTTTAAATAAAAACCTTAAGTGAGTATGCTCACTGGAGTCTTCTCCAATCTTCTCAAATATCTTTACCTGTGAAATCTCTGCAAAAGGTGGGAAGTGTTCAGAGAAAAATAAAAGAAAAGGGATGAGGGTAAAATCTGAATAGGATGATCATTAAGGTCTTCATTGGGAAGGTAATATATAAACAAAGTTAAAAGGAAGGGAATCAGTCTTGCAAATAGCTGTGGAACATTACTCCATTTAAAAAAAAGATTATATGCAAAGGCACTGGGACAGAAGCATGCCTTGTCTGTTTAAGAAATAGCAAGAAGGTTGCTGTGGCTAGATTAAATATGAAGGTAAAGAAGTAACAGAAAGCCAGATTGAATAAAGTCTTATAAGCAACTATAAGGACTTTTTGTAAGGCAGGAGTGACTTCACCTGAAATATTTTAGGATCACCCACAGCAGAACTGGGGACAGAATAAGGGGTGGAGAAAGGGCAAGGAAAGAAATAGGAAGACCAGTTTGGAGGCTGTTGGGATAATCTAGCTAAGAAATGGTGATGCCTTGGACCATAGGTAATGAGGAAGGTAAGTAGTTACAGTATATATTCTGAAGGTAGAGCCAAATGGGTTTACAGACAGGAGACAGGTAAAGAAAAAGAGGAGTCAAGGATGACTTCAAGGATTTTGGTCTGAGAAAATGAATGAATGATGCTTTCACTAGAGCAGGGGCTGAGAATTAGCAATTATGATGGAAATTTTAAAAGTTTAAGATGTCTATTAAATATCCAAGTGGAAATATCTAGCAGGCTATTAGGCATGTAAGTCTTGAGTTGAGGGAAGAGGTTTTGGCTTAACTTTTTAAAGTCACCACCAAACATATTTAAAGCTAGGAAGCTGCATGAGATAACAAAAGGAGTGTGTGGAGGAAAAAGGGGCCCAAGTACTGAGTTCTGGGAACTCCAACTTAAGAGGTTGGAAAGGTAAGAAGAATCAACAATAGACACTAATAAAACATATCCAAGGGTATACTGTAGAAAGTAAACCAGGAGAGTGTGGAGTCCTAGAAGCCAAGAAAAAAAGGTTTAGGAAGAGGTCAAGTGAACTTTAAAATGGAGAACTGCCAGTGGACTTTGCAATGGAAGTCATTAATGACCATGACAGGAGCACATTCACTGGAATAATGAGGTAAAAACTCCTAAATAGATGGGTTGAAGAGAAAAAGGAGGAAGAATAATCAGGGCAGCAAATATAGAAAATTCCTTGAAGCAATTCTGTAAAAGAGGAACCAAAAGGAAAAAAAAAGAGAGAGAAGTAGCTACAGGGAAATAGGATCCAGATTTGTTTGTTCAAAGAAATAACAGCGTGTTTGTTATGATTTAGTAAGTAGCAGAGGGAAATACAGCAATAACTTTTTTAAAAAAAGATTACATAGTACGTAAAAGTGCTCTGTGACACACCCAATGGGCTGAGTCATTCACAGAAAAGAAAAGAGAAAAAACATTGAGCAGGCACTATGTCCCAGCAACCGTTCTGAGAACTTTCCAGGTATTACAACCACCTTGAAGGAGGTTCTATTATTATCCCTATTTCATAGATGAGGAAACTGAGGCAGAGAGGTTAAATAATTCACTGATGGTTACATAGCAAGTAAGGACTTTGATTTTGAACACAGGTGGTCTGATCCAGAGTCCTTGCTCTAGCCACCATGCTCCACCACGCAGGCAGGCACGCGTGCACGCGCACACGCACACACAAAGGCTTGCAGGCAGGGGTCCTGATGTCACTCCAGGTGGGGATGGTCATGATTTGCGGGGGGCTTTTTTTGGTTGTTGTTTTAGAAAAGCTTTGGTTTAACAGCAAAATTAAAAGAAAGGTACAGACGTTTCCCATATACTTCCTGCCCCACACAAGCATAGCTTCCCTACTGTTAACATTCCCTACCAGAATTGGTACATTTGTTATAACTGATGAACCTACATGACGCATCATTATCACTCAAACTCCATAGTTTACCGTAGGGTTTACCCTCGGTGTTATATTGTACATTCTATGGGTTTAAACAAATGTATGACATGTATCTACCATTAAAATAAACATAGCAGTTTCGCTGCCCTAAAAATCCTCTGTGCTCCACCTATTTATCCCCTCACCCCACCCCTGCCAAACTCTTCACAACCACTATCTTTTTGTCCCCACAATTTTGCCTTGTCCAGAATGTTACATAGTTAAAATCATATGTTATGTTGCTCTTTCAGATTGGCAAATTTCAGTTAGTAGTAGAAATTTAATTAATAATAACTGCATTTAATATTAATATGCATTTCATTAAATGTTCAGTAGCACATGTTTGCATAGCTCAGTGGCTCACTTCTTTTTAATGCTGAATAATATTCTACCATCTGCATGTTTCACAGTTTACTTATTCCTTTACCTACTGAAGGACACCTTGGTTGCTTCCAAGCTTTGGCAATTTTGAATAAAGCTGCCATAAACATTATGTGCAGGTTTTTGTTTAGACCTGTTTTCAATTCCCTTGGGCAAATACTAAGGAGCATGACTGCTGGATCACATGAGAAGATCACGTTTACTTTTATAAGAAACTGCCAAACTGTCTTCCACAGTGGCTTCCACCATTTTGCATTCCCGCCAGCAATAAATGAGCACTCCCATTGCTGCATATCGCCACCAACATGTGGGTTGTCTAGAGTTCTGGATTTTGACCATTCTAATGAGTATGTAGCGGCATATCACATTGTTGTTTTAATTTGCATTTCCCTAATGACATGATACAGAGCATCTTTTCATGCGCTTATTTGTCATCTGCATATCTTCTCTGGTGAGGTGTCTATTAAGGTCTTTGGACCATTTATTTAATTGGGTTGTTTGTTTTCTTGAAACTTCATGAGTTCTTTGTATTTTGGATAATAGTCCATCAAATGTGTCTTTTGCAACTATTCTCTACTAATCCATGGCCTGTCTTCTCATTTTCTTGTTTCATTCAGAGAAGGCTTTTAAATTTAATGAAGTCCAACTTACCAATTATTTCTTTCACAGGTCGTGCTTTTGATGTTGTATCTAAAAAGTCATTACCATACACGAAGTCTCCTATGTTATCTCCTAAGAGCTTTATAACTTTGTATTTTACTTTTAGCAGAGATGGTCATGTTTTATTTCTGGTACTTAATTGCTAAATCCACTCATGTTAAAAATTTATGAACCCAACACATCCAGAGTCACAGTGAGCAGTTTTAGAATGTAGATTACTTGTCCTAAGAAAAGACTTGGCATTGAATGTTACTAGTTGTTCCTTGTCAACATAAGGCTTTAAGAGAATCATGTCAACTACCTAAAAGCACTAAAATTACAGTCAAAGGATCAAAAGGCAGAACCATTTAAAAATTTTTTGAGGTATCTCCATACTGCTTTCCACTGTGGCTGCACCAGTCTGCATTCCCAGCAACAGTGCAAAAGGGTTCCCCTTTCTCCACATCCTCACCAGCACTTGCTGTCTGTTGATTTACTGATGACAGCCATCCTGACAGGTGTAAGATGATCTCTCATTATGATTTTAATTTGCATTTCTCTGATGATTAGTGATGTTGAGCATCCTTTCATATATCTATTGGCCATCTGTATGTCCTCTTTGGAGAAGTGTCTTTTCAGGTCCTTTGCCTATTTATTAACTGGGTTGTTTGTTTTTTTTGGTGTTGACCTTTCTAAGTTCCTTGTAAATTTTGGGTATTAACCCCTTATCAGATGTATCAGTGATTATGTTCTCCCATTCCGTAGGTTGTCTTTTTATTTTGTTGATGTTTTCCTAGGTTGTGCAAAAATTTTTTAGTTTGATGTAGTCCCATTTGTTTACTTTTCTTTTGTTTCCCTTGTCTGAGGAGACATATCTGATAAAATATTGCTATAAGCTATGTCCAAGATTTTGCTGCCTATGTTTTCTTCAATTTTTATACTTGAGAGTGGATAAAACAACTATGGGACATTTACACAATGGAATACTACTCAGCCATAAAAAAATTTTACCCTTTACGACAGTATGGATGGACCTGGAGTACATTATGCTAAGTGAAATAAACCCAGGCAGAGAAAGACAAATGCCGTATGATTTCACTCATATGCAGAATCTAGTGAACAAACTGAACCAACAAGCAAGACAGAGACAGACTCATAGATAGAGAGAAGGCTGACAGCTAAGGGGGTGGGCAGGTGGAGGGACTGAGCAAAAAAGAAAAAGGACTCCTGGTCCTGGACAACAGTGTCATGATTGTGGGACAGAGGGGAGTATGAGGGGACTAAATGGCAATTAAAAAAATACAATTAAAAAAATCATTAAATAAAGAAAGTAAAAGGAAATGAGTCTTAAAAATAATATTTTGCTCTTCTGCTTAGAGGAAATTTGGAAAAATGCTGAAAATGATCCCCTATAATCCCACTTCCATAACATAACCACTGACGTCTGAAATATTTTCTTCCATTTTTTTGCATACACACATACACACACACATAAAGTAAAAATAAGTAAGATCATGTTGTGTATAGTTTTACACGTTTGAAATTCTTTTCTCACTAACATTGGAAATATGTTCTTCAAAAGTGTAATTTTTAATGGCTTCATAGTATTCTACAGTGTGCATGCACCAATATTTATTATTTTTTAATCCTCACTTGAGGTTATGATTATTGATTTTAGAGAAAGAGAAAGTGAGAGACACAGAGAGAGAGAGAGAGAAACATTGATCAGTTACCTCCCAAATGCTTCCTGATCCGGGGACTGAACCTGCAACCTAGGTATATGCCCTGACTAGGAATCGAACCCACAATCTTTTGGTGCATGGAACAATGTTCCAACCAATGAGCTACTTGGCTAGGACTGTCAACATTTATGTTATAAAATTTTTCCAATTTTTCCCTTCTGCAGATAACACCGAGTTTCTCTATACAAAAATCTCTACCTCAGTATTATCTTTAAAAAAATTCCCCAGAGCTGAGTTGAAGGGTAAATCTTCTTAACCATCTTGATATACACTTTTCAGTGCAGCTGTTCAAACGTACTCCCAGCAGCAGCACAGTAAATATTTTTCTCAAATTGTTGCTCCTTTGACCAATAAAAAACACAGTCAACTCTTGGACAACATGATTTGAACTGCACAGGTCCATTTATATGTGGATTTTTTTTCAATAGATATACAGTCAGCCCTCCATATCCCCAGGTTTCTCATCTTTGAACTCAACTAATAACAGAACTGACCGTATGAGATGTTTTATACCATTTTATATAAGAAATTTGACCATCCACAAATTTTGGTATTGGGGTTGGAGGAGGTGGTTTCTGGAACTAATCCCCTACAAATACCAAGGGACATCTGTAGTTATCTTTTTGGGTCAAAAGTTATATATGAACTTTTGACCATGAGGGGTCAGCACTCCTAACTCCCACATTGTTCAAGAGCCACAATATTTTTAATTTGAGCTTCTTGACTATCCTAGGCTAAACACCATTTTATTTTGTGAACCATCTATTCATGTCTTTTGTTCATTATTCTACTGAGATGTTTAATATTTTTCTTAAGATTTATAAGAGCACCTTAATGTAAGAATGTTAACCCCTTTTCTGCCCATATACAAATATTTTCCCTATGTCAATACGTTCTAGTTGTTTTTTTCACAATTTGTCATATAACATTTAAAATTTTTAAGTAGTCAAAACTGAAGAGTTCTTTCTCTGTGATTCTTCCACTGCTTTTATGCTTATAAGAATGCATTTTCTAGATGAGATTCGAAATCTCAATCAAACTACTAAAAAACTGAAATGAACAGATATTTGTATCCTACATAGTTCAGTTTAAAGCATTTTTATGATCTTCAAGAGAAGATACCATCTATGGAGAACAAAACTAACACTTATTGCATATCATTTATATTTAAGACTGTTCTAGACATTTATTAGACATGATTTAAATCTCATTTTATGATCTCAATTGTATAGATGAGAAAATGAAATAAAACAGAGTAAATACTTAGTGGTTTACCAGAATGATCCTCAGAGCCACTCTTAAGGAGACACCACCTAAATAGACTTATTACCCCCCAATTAGTTACTCACCTCTTCATCAATTTTATCTTCTAAGGCATCAATATGACGTTCTTTAAGGAATCGCTGTGTTTTTTCCAACTGGTATTTCACTAATTCCTCTATGGCATCTTTCTCTTCCTTGTCCACAAATTCTTGCACCGCTTCACCCATTCCCCTTTCAGTTAGAAGTGAGAGCTGCACATTCTGTAAGAGAGATACAGATCACTGGGTGCAGAAAATAGTATCTATTCCTTACAAAATAATTCTATATGAAAAAAGATAATATTTCCAGGGAAAAAGACAAATATTATCTAGATATTGAAGGGAAAACAAAACAAGGGGCAGTAATTAAGCCCGGCGATGACTATTAAGAGCCAGAAAAAGCAAAGTGAAAGCAAGAAACAGGAGTACAGTACAGGACAAGTACTCTACTGAGGGGCTGGGATACAGAGACCAGAAGTGGCAGCTGATGATTAAGAAAGATGAGGTCAACCAGAGTGGTAGACAGGATAATGGTCCCCTAAAGATATCCACATCTTGATCTCTGGGACCTGTGAAAATGTCCCATGTCAAAAAAGAACTAAAGTTACTAACCAGCTGGCTATAAAATCGGATTATCAGGGACTATCCAGGTGAGGCCAGTAAAATTATGAATATCCTCAAAAGTGGAAGAGCAAGGCTGAAGAAGGGAGTCAGAGAACGATGTAACTGGGGGAAAATGGCCAGAGATACACAACTTTCAAGATGGAAGGTGGAAGATGGAAGAAGCAGCCCATGAACCACAAAAAGCTGGCACCTCTAGAAGCTAGAAAAGATAAAGAAATGACTCTACCCTGGAGCCTCCAGAAAAGAACACAGCCTGCTGACCCTCAATTTTAGTCCAGTGAGACCAGTGTCAAGTTTCTGACCTACAAAATTGTAAGATAAGAAACCTGTGTTGTGTTTAAACTACTAGGTTTGTGGAATTTGTTTCAGCAGCAATAGGAAACTAATATATCCAGAGGATACTGAAGTGGTATATAATCATGACAGTAAGAGTAGCTTCACAATCCTCCGGCTATATTAATAATGTAATTCTGAAATTACATCCAGATGCAAAAAGAATAAATCCTGGATTCAGACTTATGCAGTAGGATAAAAAGAAAAGACGAGGATAACAACATTAGCCACAATAGTAATATTAATAACATTAATATTGGTGTATAGTAGCTATAAATGAACACAATTAATTGCCATGCTAACTACTTCTTGGAAACATTTTGAGTATCCCTTTCATCTAAACTATCAATTATACATCCTAAATTAAAAGCTCTTAAGATAGACATTATTCAAACTGTGAACTATAATTAAGAAATTACCTTCTCTGCGGTTTGGAAATACTGTTTTACAAGGTCTTCTACCCTTAGAGTTGTTCCTTCTGAAGGTTTACTAATGAACTTCCCAAAGTTGATTTCTTCTCCTAGAAAAAAGATGTCCATGAAAAAAGAGCAGCTTCTATCATAATGTAAAGTTCCCAAACTCATTGTAGGTTGCAGTCAGTAGAGGAGGTATGGCCAAATTTTATGAACTGTCAGCTTGCTCAATTGATAAATTTTGAGGCAAAAATATGGTATTTTTGCTAATAGCTACTCCTTTCCCTAAAGTCTATATTTGTCTTCCATATCTCCAAATAATATTGACTGGGTTTGCCAAAAAGTCTGTATGATTTTTTTCCATAAAATAAAAGACACATTTTTTATTTTCACCAATAATTTCATTGATTTGGATATTTTGAGTATGTTGGCTATGTCACGCATGGTATAACACTGATTGCTCTCAATTAATGTCTCGATCTGATTGCTATCAACTTCAACTAGTCTATGTGACTGTGGAGCATTATCCAGCAAGAAATCTCCAACACAAAACCTTGCAAATCACTTTTGACATGTTCGATCAGTCAAAGCACCTTCTTCACATACTGCATTTTTACTTTGCTTGAAATAATGAAGCATAATATGCCAAAAATGTTGCATATTTTCTTCCATCTTCAATATTAAAATGGCTACATAAAAATTCACCAATTTTGATAAGCTTTTTTAAAATGCTGAGATGACAGCTGTCACAATACAATCTAACAAGATTTTTTCGAATGAAGTTAAAGACAACTAAGTGCTACCAGTGCCATCTTACAAAAAAAAAAAAACAAATGAACTTTTTGGCCAACCCAATGTATCTCTTGCTGCTATTCTTACATGGTGGTCCACAGACCTCTGAGGCCCCCCAAGCCATTTCAGGAGGTGCTCAAGGTGAAAACTACTTTAATGATACTACTAAGATATTATTTACTCTTTCCACTATAATGACAGTTTCACTGATAATACAAAAACAACCATGAGTAAAACTGCCAGTGCCTTGGAATGAGTCAAGGTCGGAACTCTACTAATAGTCATCACTACATATAGTTCAAAACAAAACAAAACAAAACAAAAATTCTCTTTATAATGTCCTTGATGAAAAAATAAAATTATTAATTTAGTTAAATCTCAGCTCTAAAGTACATACCATTTTAATATTCTGTAAGATAAATAAGATGTACCCTTAAGGCATTTTTGTTGCATTCCTAAGCAGGATCGTTGTCTCAAAAACAGTAGGTAAAGAATAAAAAGAATACGGGGCAGAAAGTCAGGAAGCATTAAGGTCCAGTAACTGCTCTGCTAATAATCTTTGTCAGGGAAACAAATATTAACTACATAGCAAGAGTCAGACCTGGTGTTGAAAACACAATGATAAAAAGGATCCCTGCCATAAAAACCAATGATCTCAATACAAGGTGATGAGTGCTACAGAGAGATAAGAACAGAGAATATGACACATGGAAAAGAACAAACTAATTCTTCTTAAAGAAGGTTGAGAATAATGTGCAGTTATCCAACGCAGCTATCACTTAAGTCAAGCCTTGCAGAAAAAGAAAATCTATTTCAGTCAGAGGAAAAAGTATATGTAACAGCCTAGAGGATAAAGAGGCACGAGGTTCAGTGTACCTTTTGCAAAGAGGTAAGCACAAATAAAAATCTTTTTCGAATTTCAAGGTAGTAGAATTAATATAACTTCATAAATATGATTACTACATTTTACAATTCCAGACACTATATTAAGATCACTTACACACTGTATACCAACTAAGCCTCACAACAATCCTATGAGGCAGACACAGCTATTACCCTGATTTTATAGACATCGGGTAAAGTAATTTACAAAATATATTACCTATATTTAAGTAGTAGAGCTGCTCAAAACAACAGAAAGATTCTTTCAGTAAAACATTCAAAGGGGTCATTGTTTCAATTAAGCAATTAATGTTTAAACTAGAAAGGAATCATTAGAACAAAACTGATTATAAGTAACTCAAGTAACAAGGTTCTAGTTTTATATTGTTATTATAAATGCTACTCTCATAAAATTTCAAGGAACTGATAAGGATGGACAATTAAAGGGTCATTAACAAGTAACTAATTAAAATTCAAAGCATGAAAATATAATTTTCTGGTACAGATCTACCCCCCTAAAACAGTTATTCTATGAGCTCCATTTAAATATCTAAATGACTATTTCAGGTTGAATTAACAGTTTTGACACTAAAAATAGAAGCCCCTTAAATCCAAGTTAATAAGAACCTAAGTAGCTTACTTGTAAGCAAGAGCCATATTTTTCTAACAAAACTCTGACTCAATAGCTCTAAGGAAAATGGTCTCTATATTTAACATATGTATTATGAAGAAACACTACAATTGACTCTTGAACAACATGAGGGTGTGCCAACTCCACACACAGTTGAAAATCTGTGTATTAACTTTTAATTCCCCCAAAACTTAACTACTAATAGCCTACTATAGACTGGAAATCTTACAGATAACATAAATAGCCAATTAATACATATTTTGTATGTTATATGTATTAAACTATATTCTTACAAAACCGAACTAGAGAAAAATATACATAATTAAGAAAATCATATGGAAGAGAAAGTACATACACAGCAGTGTATATATTTATTGAAAAAAATACATGTATAAGTGAACCTGAGCAGTTCAAATCCATGTTGTTCAAAAGTCAGCTATTTCAGTCAGATCACCTGTTTTTATAAATGCTAAAATAAGGACAATCAGTTTTTTAGGAGGCTGTAAATTGGAAACTAATTACCTTATTATCAGAAACATCAAACTATGAGACACCTCCTATTTCAAAAGATTGGAGTCTTCCTAAATCATTGTACACTCTAAAGCTGAAGTACTTAATAATGCAAAATTTGATAATAAATTCTCTGACCATAAATAATGTATAATAAATAACATTTATTTTGAGGAATAAATCTGTAAAGTCTGTGTATGTTGTTACTCAGCAGCACTGTTTAAGAAAAGTACACCTGCATGAAAGCCTTCCATTTCTTTTTGACATTCACACGTTTTAAAAATAATTGCTATATAAATTTTAGAAGACAAGAAATTTAATTATTCCAACTATCAGTTTATTTAAGATACTAGAATCATACAATAACTTTTTCCATTATTACTGTATACTTTAAGACATTACCCCTGTAAGATCATTTTTTAATTTATAAAAATAACTAGCTTACCTGTATTTTCCTTTTGCTCCCTACGCCTGAAAAAATGGATAACATCCTTTGGATTAGCTATTCGATCCACAAACTTCTGGCTAAAGCGAAGCACACTGAAAGGTTCAAAACCTCCACTATAGTCCACCTGGAAATACAGAATAAGATATGAAGGCTAGGTAACAACAGTTTACCATTTCAGTATTTAGGTTATGCTTGATACTTTAAAGTTAGTAAATGAATGTTCTACATTCATTTTAAAGATACTGATGATGTTACACCATTTATTCTACTGAAAAAATTAAGTTTCAAAGATTTGTAAGCTTACTCAAATCACTTTGTGTGGTGGAATAAAAATACAGCAAGAGTTTCCATAGTGTTGGAATGATTACACCTCCCCATGGTAACACTAGTAGTCTAGGCACCAGAGTACCATCTGAAAAGGAGGTGGAATTTTTAAACAAATTTTTAAACTTCTAAAACAGAAAGAAAATTCTCCACCAAAATAAGATGCTGGTCCTAGATGCATCAGTTAACAGGTCTATCCTCTTATGTATATTCTCTAACTTTAGACAAGAATAAATGCTAGGAAAAATCCATGAACAAAAAGAATCAAATCTGTGAGCTTTGAGGAAGATACACCCTTCAAAACACAGAATCTATTTAGAACTAACAGTCACTCTCAAGGCAGCCTCTTTCTAAAGAAGTCTATAGTGGTACAAGGACCTTTAAAAAGAATTAATACATTTCTTTCTAAGAGACCAATAACTTTTAACTCCCTCAAAAATTATAGCCTCCTGCCCTGATTGGTGTGGCTCAGTAGGTTGGGCATCATCCTGCAAACTAGAAGGTCGCCAGTTTGATTCTTGTCAGGGTATATGCCTGGGTTGTGAGTCAGGTCCCCGGTTTTGGCGTGCTACAGGCAACTGATCAATGTTTCTCTCCCTCTCTTCCTCCCTCCCTTCCCCTCTCTCTAAAAATAAATAAAATCTTTAAAAAAATTATAGCCTACTGGTGACCAAAAGCCTTACCAATAACATAAACAGTTGATTAACACATATTTTGTATGTTACATATATTATATACTGTATTCCCACAAGGTAAGCTAGAGAAAAGAAAATGTTATAAAGAAAATCACAAGGAAAATACATTTACAATATTTAATGAAAAAACCCACATGTAAGTGGACCCATGCACTTCAAAACCTGTGTTGTTCAAGAGTCAACTGTAATCAGCTAGTTTAAGCTCTTGTTCTCAATGTAATCCTCTGGGAACCAACATTATACTATGTACCAAGCTTATCCAGACTAATTCCTAAGCTCCCCCCTCTTACACTCTTTATCACGCTTAACACAAGCTGATTTCTGTTCATTTACTTGCTATCTGTTTATTATGCCTCACATCTCCACTTCCCATAAGCTCCACAAGTTCAACACCTCGTCTGTGTTATCATCATCGCCTGCAGGACAGAAGGTATTCAATAAATACTGATTCACTGAACCAATGAATTCATAAGAGGCCTCTAGTTGATACAATGTACCTTTGGAATATTACTTACATGGAAATAGCTGTCCATCTGTTTTAAAAATGATTAATAATTTACTGAGTTTAGGAAAAGGAATGCCAATTTTCTATTTAAATCTGGTTGGTCCTAATGGTACCAGGCAAATATAGAAGGGAAACATGGAATCCTCTGCCCTGTTAAAGAGAACCATGTGGTTCTCCCAAAACAACTATGTTTGTATTACCCAGACCATCTTCACAGTTGCTATGATATAAAACAGAAAATGTGAAATGCTCAAGCTATTGGATCTCCCCAAACTCTTCAGACCTTTTAACAATTATACTCCAGCACAGCTTTATTTGTAATTTTCTGCTCCTAAGAGTCACAAAGCCTGTTCATTAGGCAAACCTTACTGAATGTTCACAATGTGCTAGGCACTCTCCTAAGGGCCAGTGACACAGCCATGAATAAAACACAATCTTGGTTGTCAAGAAATTCACAAGCTGATTGGGGAGACAAACATGTAAATAATAACTGCAGGCAGAAGGAAATGGTGCTGCAACAAGCAGGCACAGAGTAAACTGAGGACACAAAGGAAGGTATATCGACTGAAGGGAGGTCAAGAAAAGCTACTTTGAAGAGGGGAAGCTTTAAGTGGCTGTTAAAGGAGAAATTACAGGAGAGAAGCACATTCCATGCAGCAGAATCACACAGGCAAAGGTGAGAAAGAATGTAATAAGCTTCATACACACATAAAAGAACAAAACTCAAGAGCCCTGGCTCAGTGGCTCAGTAGATTGAGTGCCAGCCTGCAAACCAAAGGGTCGCTGGTTCAACTCTCAGTCAGGGCACATGCCTGGGTTGTGGGCCAGGTCCCCCCTGAAGGGCAAACCACACATTGATATTTCTCTTCCTCTCTTTCTCCTTCCCTTTCTCTCTCTAAACATAAATAAAATCTTTTAAAAAAAGAATTTATTAAAAATTGTGTATTTATTCTTACATGTTTAAACTTCAGTCACCTTCAAAGTACTCTCTATTTGATACAATACACTTATTGAGACATTTTTTCCATTGCTCAAAACAGTTTCTGAACTCATTAATTTTGATGCTTTTTAGTGCTTCTGCTGTTTTTTGTTTCACCTCTTCCACATCGGCAAAATGTTTCCCTTTGAGGACTTTTTTCATTGAGGTGGCGGTGGGGGAAGGCACCTGGGGCAAGACTGGGTGAACAGGGAGCATGGGGCATGGGGGTCATGATGGTTTTGGTCAAGAAACTGCTGACCACTCAGCATAGTGTGGGTAGGTGCACTTGTACTTCACCCATCATGAAATGAGCAAATGTGTTGAAAGAGTCTTCAAAAAAATTTCACTGAAGCCAAATGCAGCCTCTCAGAACAAATGCCAGCTAGTCCACTAATACAGATGGGTTCCTAGAACACTCATCTACCAGGGGAAGCCTGTACTACAAGGGGCCCACCCTCGAGAACACAATTCAGGTTTTCTTGGGGATCCCCCCCTCATACTATCCTCTGAAAACCAATAAAATTCAATTCGTCTAACATAGTACTTACTCAAAATTAAAATGAAATAGGACTTACTCGCAGTCGTATAAGAGGCTTATCTGGCTGTTGAGAATTTCCCAGACGTTCCCGTTCAGCATTTTCAAGCATTTCTTCAATCTCAAAATAAAGACATTGTCATGATTGGGGGGAGGGATACTAGGGATACTACTGGCATCCAATGGGTAGAGGTCAGAGAGGATATTGTTAAAATCCTGCAATGCACAGAACAACTTCCTACAACAAAGAATTACCCAGTCTAAAATGTCAATTCTGCCGAGGTTGAGAGAGACCACTGGTTTCCTGACCTAAGCCTGACCAATTAATTCATTTTCCCTTTTCCTGGTTTCAGAAATTGGGTTTAGTTAGGGATGACTACATGACTTCAGTCCAATGAAACGCAATGCTAGGGGTTTTTCTGGAGCTACTGGAAAAAAATGATTCTTTCCGCTGTAAGAATAATGTAAGTCTGTGAGCTAGCATGTGGCAATGCCTTCCTTATAGTAAAGTTTAAGACAGAAACTATCAGAATGGGTGGCATGGGGCTAGACAGAAACAAAAACAGAGAAACACATACTCTTAATTTGAGTTTCTGGGCCAAATCATCTTGGAACCAGCATACTCTTAAACTTTTCAGATATACAAGTTACATGTTGCTGGTAAAGCTGTGATACTGGGCCAGTTACTTTATCTAAGGTTCAGTTCCTCTTTCTATGAAATGTGGATGGTAGACTCTCCCTATGCATAGCATTAAGTGGATTAAATGCAAAATGTTGTCAATGGTGCCCAGAATATATAAGCAGGCAATGAATATCAGTGATAATTATTATCCTTATTACTATCTCATGTGATTTCTTATGAGAATAAAAGGCAAAGCATAAGACTTAGCACAGAGTAAGAACTGAATATCAACAATTAATGCTATTAAGCTATCAATTTACATATTCTTAAATGCATTCACACAACTTCTGTAGTGGCTATAGAATCTCTGTAGAGGTTTATGGGTGGCAATCTGCATGGAAGGGGATGTATGGGACTTAGGCTGAAACTACAAAGTATATAGCAAATACATTTTAAGATTTTCTTTGGGGTAGCTTTTTGGGTGACAGGGATGCCCATGGAGATTATTAAAGAGGTAAAGGCTCTCCTCATCTATCAAAATACCCTACTTCCCCCCATCAAAGCCACTGCCAACTTTCATAAATATAATGAACAAATTATGAAATCAGGATAAAAAGAGAAAAGATTATATACATGTTTTTAAGAGGAGGGAAAGGCACTGGGAGAGGGGCTTAATTAAAATTTCTCATATATGTCTATATATGTCTATATATATATATATAGACATATATATATCTTTCTTCCATCTGGGAGAATTAAAACAAGGATTTTTGATAAAACTAAACTCATTTATTGAACAGTGGTTCCTTATAGGCTCCACAAGACTCTAACAAATATAGTTACTTCCCTCTGCTGAAGTATTTAATTTAATTTAAATAATCTCTCACCCAAAGTAGATCTCACTGATCTTTATTGAGAAAAATTACCTTCTCCAAACAGAAGCTTTGTACAACCTGGGTTACTTTAGGATTATCTGGGTTAAAAATGTCTGGATGATCATTCAGAATAACATCCTCCATAAAAAACGGCCGCACTGTGCGAAGAGGAATTTTCTGCATATTCATCTTCCTTCCTTTAATACGGAGCAAACCAACATGTCTGAAATGAGGGAAATGAAAGCCTAGTCACATTGTAAATTTCCTCAGGAAAATGTACACAGCAAAACTATCATATTTCTGAGTTTCTACAAAGTAATTCTTTGTAAAATCATACCCTTAAAAAATGTGTTTAGAAATTTAATGTCATGTCACAGGAGAAAATGTTAAATATTCTTCTTCCTCAGAATAAAATATACCCATCCATCATTTTTCCTGCCTGAACAAATATACAGTTTAGTAGAAGACAAACGTAACAGTTAAATATAATACATTATTAGGACCATGATAATAGCATACATAGTATATAGTATTACACATATATCTATTGTGTGTGTATATATGCATATGCACACATAAAGTAAACTAGCAGAACTATGAAAAAAAACCAGCAAACTTATGTCCATATCTACCTATTCATATAGGTACCTACCTATAGGTATCTACCTCACATCCATATCTACCTATTCATATTACTACTATATTCTTTAAACCTATTCTCATCTTAACAATCAGAACTTGAGTGGATTAAAGAGTAAAACCACTATTGGTTAATCGCTATTAACTACATTACTACATAATTACATAATTGCACAATTACATAATTACATTACTATATTACCCAAAAGAAATGAGATATGCTATAATACTGCATTTATTACCAGAAAAAAGTCATAGTTTTAGATAAATTTGTTTATTATTGGACTTTGTGAAATTAGTAATCATCTCTAGCACTCTAACTCGAAATTTAATAAATAAAAATGTTAGTCTTGAATTTGCCTCATAAGCAGCAAAATTATTAACACCATTGAGATGCTGTTGTATTGAAACTGGCTTACAATCTGGGAAAATAGTGAGACTACATCAAATGATCAATCTTCATAAAAAATCTATTATATATAAATAACAATACCATCAGTACCTTGAAACTATGAAATGATTAGGACATTATAGCAGGGTTGTTTTTTTTCTTTAATTGGTTTGGAAAATATAACAACTACTCACTTCTTTACAGCTTCTCCTGGGGAAAGAGATGTAACCACTGAACTTCCAGGTTGTGATACATAAAATAGTTGTTGTTCATTTTTGGTTGGAGCTATTTTACACTCATGTTCATGGCCCCAGATAACAAGATCAATAAAGTCATCCAAAAATTGTTCTGGAATGAAGTTGGTATTTCCATGTTTACTCCTATACCAAGATTTTAAAAATTAAATAATACAAATGTTCAGAGACATAGAAGAAATATCATATTAAGTATTCCATACACATCTTTTCTTCTCTTTTCATTAAAGGTTTATTACATCCTTCTATGTGCCAAAACTGGGCAAGAGATTGAGAATACAAAGATATTACCTAATTCCACAAGGGGATTAAAAATTTGCAGGACAGACAAGTAGGAGACCCCAAAAGAGAAAGCAGTCAATCCTACATTTAGATACAGATCACAAAAGGCTTTACAGAGGACTAGCCTGCTTTGAGCAAGTCAGAAAAGCATGAACTCTATTAATAGTGAAAACCTATAAAATGGTCTAATTATACAGCAAAAAAAGAAAGAATTAACAGAAAACAAAAGAGTTAATTCTAAACTTTGCAGAATAAAAACAAATCTCTGAATATGCCCATTCGTTTTTAACATCATCCGTTTTATTACTGATTATAAAAATGAGAGTAAGAATGTCAATCTTACATAAGATGAGTTTTCCATATTAAGTATCATGTGAATAAGTGATTTACACACTCTGGTTTTATACCTAGTTATCATTAAAAGATGTGTGAATATCCAAGATGAGTAAAGAAGGAAAGGTTTTTCCTAACACTGACTTACATCGTTGAGAATTTAAGTAAAAGTGTTCAAATACTTGGACCCAGCACTTACTTAATGCAAACCAATATTCATTCAACAAATATGTAGACAGTTAAGACACAGCAGCAAACAAAGTCTTTGTTCTAGTGGGGAAAACGAGCAAAAACACAAGATGTATATGTATATACATATGCATGGGGGTATGTGTGTGCACGTGTGTGTGTGTGTGTATGTATTTGCCAGGTATTGATACTATAAAAAAAAAATAACATGGAAGGAGGATGTCACTATACATAGTGTGGTGAGGAAAGGCCTCTCTGACATGTGACATATGAGCAGAGAACTGAGATAAGGGATTAGCACGCAAGGGAAGAAGGGAAGGGCAAAGGAATGAGCAGATGGCAAATGTGCAGAGGTGGGAATGTGTTCAGTAATTCCAAGAACAGCAAGATCAGTGTAGCTGAGCAGGATGAATGCAGGAAAGAGGAGGAAGTAAAGTCAGAAAAGAATCACATACTTCGGACTATTTTTACGTAGAAAACATGTATCTAGGGTCTAAAAATCAAACCCAAATCCCCTTCCATTTTTCCTTAGTTAACTTCTCAGCTTTGTGCCTTACATATCATTCTCACTGACATCTTAAGAAATATGTACTTTTTAAAGATTTTATTTATTCATTTTTAGAGAAAGCAGAAGAAAGGGAGAAAGAGAGGGGGAGAAATAGCGACGTGAGAAACAAACATAGGTTGGTGGTTGGTTGCTTCTAGGACGTGCCCTAACTGGGGACCGTACCCAAACCTAGGCATGTGCCCTGACCAAGAATCGAGCAGGCGACCTTTTGCTTTGTGGGATGATACTCAACCAAGTGAGCCACACAGGTCAGGGCTCACTTTTTTACTATAATGATCACATAATAAATCTTGCTTATTCAAGTCTCTATTCCCTCCAATCAATCCTGAACTCTATCAGTAAGTTTAAACTTCTTAAAACTAACAAAAGAAAGCTGATCTAACTATATTTAATATTCTGGAAAAATACCTGCACATATGTACGAGAAGATGTATATAAGAATGTTCATAATGAAAAGGTTTTTTAAAAAAAGGAGGAAAGTAAAGTGTATACATCAGTAAAAATGAATTATACTTTTAAGCATCAAAATGGATAAATCTTGTAATACTTAACATAATAAGCCAGCTGTAAAATTTACAGCATGGTTCCAGTTATACCAAAACTAACTTAACTCATTATGGATATATATGTGATTAAACAATAAAGAAAACCAATGGGCTGAGTATATAAAAATTGAAGACTGTGCTTTTCCCTGGGGTACGCAGGAAGAAAAAGGGCTAGGGAAGAGCATGGGATAATGAACTAATAGTGTTCTATAGTTTGCTGAATTCACACATATTCATCTTATGGTCATTCTTATACCTTATTAATATATATTGAAAACTTTTGAAACAGTCACACAAAGCATATTTAAGTTTTGCCTGACCCAGCACTGACAACTTTCAAAGAATGAGGAGCATTTTACTCACATAGGGAAGCCTGGAAACAGAGATTTGGGGAACCTCAATACTTGACACAACAATTTCCAGAGAATACTTTTACCTGTTCTGATGAATCACAAATAAATTAAACCAAGCATTCTCATCTTCTTTTGGTCTCAACATTGTTACTTTTTTATTGAGGAACATTCGATATAGCCTTTCATCTGGAATGGATCCTGAAATGGACATTACATTATTTTAAAACTGGTTTCTTACTTGGTTTTAAGAAATGAATAGGTTTTGCTTCTAAATTATGTGCTTCTCGCCTCAAAGTATTTCATTTTCCTACTAGAGATATATTTGAAATCTTGAATCATTATTTGCAAATGAGTGTATTCCAGGTCCTTGCATGACAAGTGCTGCGCAGTTAAATGCATTCAAAGAATGTTTTCCTGTCAAGTATATATACCTTCAAAATCTGAAAACTGTGGAATAAAAATTTGAGTTTTCTAAAACTGTTACTAAAATTTCTATTAAAATATTGTTTTTCACTATCTCTTTTTTATTATATGTACATGGTACTTTTGACCTAACATACATTATAAAATACACAAAGATATTAAAAGGGATGAGATAAAAATAAATGTATTTACAAAAAATAGTCAAATATATTGCATTTTTTAAATAAAAACACTGTGCTTTTTATTAACTTAATGAGTTTTAAATAAGTCTTCCTCTTACTCAAAGGGTTAGGATAGTCTAGCGAAGAAGCCAACAAAAACAAGTAAACAAACCCACAAGGTACAATTTTAAGTATTACAAAAGGAGAAAAAGTCCGGACACTAAGATAGGGAATGTCAGGGACAAGGTTGTTACTTTATGTAGAGATCAGGGAAGGCCCTGGGGAAAAGCCAATAATGCAGAGGTATAAGAGCCAGAAGAAGCCTAGCTTCATAAAGAGAATTCCTAGTGTGTGACCAATGGCATAAGTGGTGGACTGCACAACATATAACTAGAGAGGAAAAGTCGAGCCCAGGGCATTAGAAGGTTGATCGATTTAAGTCTTGAAGCACAGAGAACACTCACATTTGCAGGCTGGGGAAAAAATTTGAGGGAAAGGAGAGAGCAGTTTAGCCAGCTGGCAATTAGCTCCAAGGAAGCAGGAGTTGGCAGGCAGGAAAAGAAGTGGCAGCAGGGAACAAGAAGAACAGTGCCCACCCTCTTGCCCTGAGGCCCATAAAAGGCTGTGAGAGAATTGATAGTACAGACAGTAACCTCAGGGACAGTCAGAGAGTAGAGGCAACATTTAAAGAGGAGGCTGATGATAGAAGGGAATTTGCTAATTATAAAAAGAGGTCTCGAGTATATAGAGAAGGGTTGGGGTGAGAATAGAGGGTGGAGAGTAGACAGAATCCAGTTAAGGAAAACAGAACAGGATGAGAGTTTGAGAGAAAATGGATGACTGAAGCATAATGGGATGTCTACAGTGTGAAAGTGACAGGATTATGAACCCTAACACTGTAGTGATTAAAATACCAGTTAGTAGCGTTTTTTTAAATGTATTTCACTTTTTGCTCCATCACTTGCAAAACCAGACATTTACGTCAACCTCATTTTCTGTACCTCTAAAATATAAATAATCATGATGCTTTCCTACTTGTTAGAGAAATTATGAAATGAACAAAGACTAGAAAGCTTCCTAGAAAAAGTATTTAAATGCACCATCCATCATAATTATTTTAAAAATATATTCAAAGACAAGTAAAGTAAGTAAGATCTTCCACGACTTCTTTTACACCAAAATCACTCAAAAAATAATAAAACCTATTTTGAGACTAGAATGTGAAATTTTCCACCCGTTTCTGTCAGGGTACTTCAAGGTTGATTTAACATGGAATATAATTTTTATAATACTCAATATACAATAAACACAATAAAATAAAATATCAAGCTGAACTTAATTCAAGGAAGATACAATAAATAGACTTTTTTTTTAAAAAAACAGACATTTTTCTAAAAATGTCTTTGATCTGCCCTGGCTATTGTGGCTCAGTGGATTAACTACCTGCCTGTGAACTGAACGGTCACCTTCTAGATCCTCAGTCAGGGCACATGCCTGGGTTGCAGGTCAGGTCCCCCAGTAGGGGATGTGCAAGAGGCAACCGATGGCTGTTTTTTTTCCCTCTTTTTCCCTCCCTTCCCCTCTCTCTAAAAATAAATAAATAAATAATTTTTTTAATTATAAAAAAAAGTCTTTGATCTTTCATTCAAATGGAATAAAGCCTAGCAAATAGGCTTTTACCTACTGGACTCTAAATAAATTAAAGATAGCTAGGTTGATAAGGCAAATTTTCTGATCATTACAGATGACAGCTCTAGATTAGCATTCTCTAATAAAAATATAACATGAGTCACTAACACAGGCCAAAGATGTAATTTAAAATTTTCTACTGGCCACATTAAATAAAACAAGAAAAAAAAAAGCAGGTAAGATTAATTTTAACATATTTCATTTAACCCAATATATTAATAAGGTATTTTTTGTATTTTTTTCTAAATCTTGGAAATCTGACATGAATTTTTACAATTCTAGCATATCTCAATTCAGATGAGCCACATTTTAAGTGCTCAACATCTACATGAGGTGATTACTACAGTGGACAATGAAGCTTTCAACCTTTCAAAGACTTCTAAGATATCAAAATGCAGTTTTTCTAATTATTCTCTAACTGTAATGTTCAGGATTATCTAAACCTAAAAGAAAAAATGAACAGTAAATAGATACTTAAAACAATATTTTTTCACCAAAACTGCTATTAGGTCTATTGATTTTAATTAAATACTAAAAAATTTCTACCAAAACCTCCTATCATTTTTATAGTAACTCAGAAATACAGATTTGCCTCACTTTTTCCAATTAGCAACAAACTCCGGAATGCAATTTTCCAGTAGCTTAAATAATTAAATATTTATTAACATAAATAATAAAATCATCTTACCTAAGCCATATAGTGCAATTTTTGTGCTTCCTTTTTGGAGCAAAACTGGACTAATGTCTATCTTCTCCACAGACATTGAACGTCCAAAGTGATTTACATATCCAGCACAACTTAATATATCCAGGGCACAAAGCGTATCTGCCTATGCAGAATATTTTCAAAGAATGTAAATGTATATTTAAAAATAAGTAATTTGCATATCATATTATTACCTAGTAAAGTATATTCTATATACTAGTTACAAAAGCACAGGTTTTACATACTAGTTACAAGAGCAGATTAACATAAGTGTCTTCTCAAAACAAAATTACAATATTAAAATTTTTTCTACCATTTTTCTTTCAGAAATTACCTGCAACTGGAATTACATGCTAAATACAAAGTGAACATTTCATTAAAATTTATGATGTCTTGGCCACTGAAAATTAAAAACTAGCTGTGAAGTACGTATTTTTTAATATTAAGCAGTGGGGGGAAGATGTGGGAGGAAAAGACTTGATAACTAGTTATTTATAATATTTATTACCAGATAAAACAAAAAGATATTTTCAGTTTAGGACCTTTAGTCTTACCTCTATATAAACAGGTAACAAGATGCCCTAATTTACATTTAAATGAAACACTTTTCCATTTCAATAAGTTTATGAAACACTCATTTCCTACAGGTGAGATTCTATGAGATAAGAGATACAAGAGCACTGGTGAACCGTAGAGCATTATACAAAAGATAGGTGTTGGCTTATTCTTACTCCTGGTTACTTATGGTTAATCTCAGCACTAATAAAATAAAAGCATATCTCACACACCAATTATTATTCCAGATTTTAAAAAACTGTCTCAAAGGCAGTATAAAAGCATATATGAATGATAAAAAGTCAATTTGAACTTTTTAACTCTTTTAAAAATTACTTTCCACACACAAACTAATCATCTCAAAAATTTCAACAAACTGCAAAAACCCAGTAATTACCCCTGTGGGATCATCATGGTTGCCATGAATACTAAACACTGGAATCGAAATGTTGATATTGTCATCTTGGTAGTTCACCCATGGAAACCTTAAAAAAATAAAAATGTTTAAAGGAAGGTATTTAAGGTTCTGTAAGAGACAAAAGCTATTTCCCCCAGTATCCTCCCTCAAAAAATAATGCAGTTATAGGCAAACTGGATAATCTAAGTGGACAAATGACTACAAGTTTGGAGCTTTAAAAAAATAAAATCATAGGCAACAATTCATTTCAGTTCAAGTTTGAAAATATGTCGAAGTACTATACTTTATTAAAGAAACCCCTACAATAAATGATGCTTGTGAATTGTAAAAAAGAGTGGCATATCTAGTTAATGGGACATTAATGGGTTCTCAAAATTTTAAAAGCTGTTGTACAATGTTTTTATTTGCAGAAAGGGGAGGGCAAGAAACATATCCACTTTTAAATCCAAAAGACCTAGACTAAAAATTCCAACTCTATCACATCTAGCTCATCTTCTCTGAGACAACTGATGTTCACAATTTCTAGTATATCTTTGTAAAATTATCTTGTACCTGTAAAAAGCAAATAAATACCTCTTCCTTCTTATACAAATAATAGCACAATATAGATTACTACACTCTGCTTTTATTATTTAACATATTTTAGACATCATTCTATGTCTAAAGCATAATAGCTTTGTTGGGGACCACTTTGTGTATTGGGAACTGTAGCCCTGCAAAAGAATGCAAGGTAATTACTGAAGTTTGCTTTGCTTCCCACTGCCCTGATAAGGAAAAACCCGGTGTTTTACTTCACCATAAGGAGATAATTTCTGAGCCCCAAAAACTGTGCCTTAAAGAGCATCTGGTGCCACCTTGTCTGACAGACCTTGATTTAAGACAAACCTCTGTATTTCTTCAATTTATTATCTATAGCCCTCTGAAGTAAAGTGATAGGCTTTGCATGCACGCTATACCCCTGCGCTCATTTCATTCTCAATAAAAGTCACTTCATGAGAAGGGCTCAGGGCACTCTCCACTAGAGGGTCTCAACACCCCGTTTTCCTGGCAGACCGAGAGTATATGGAACGATTTATGATTTATTTCCCCATCCACAGTGGCTGGGGGGACTACGTGGGCAGGGTGTCCCCACAAAGAGCTTCCATGTGCTTTTCTGGCTAGACAGTATTCCATGGTATTGATTATTATAATGTGTTTAAGGAGTCACATACAAATGGACATTTAGACAACTTTCAGTCTTTCATTTTACAAATAATGCTCAAGTCAACAATCTTGTACAAAGCTGCCCTTGTAAGAAGATAGGAAAATATCTAGAAAAGAATTGCTGGGTCAAAGAATATGAGTGCATTTATAAATTTGATAGCTACTGCCAATTTCCCTCCACAGAGATTGTACAAATTCACACATAATACAATGGTAACACATGAGAGTTTCGCCTTACTCTACCAACATAATACTTTATTGTCAAGCCTTTAAATCTATGCCAGTGGTTCTAAATTTTAGCTGCATGTTAGCGTTATCTAGGAATCTTTTAAGAAATACTAATGCCCACAACATACTCAATGAGGTTAATCAGCCTGAAGGCTAGGCATAAGTATTTTTTAAGATTCCTAAGTAACTATTATGTGTTCCAGGATTGCAAATCCTGATCTAGGCTAACCTAACAGGAGAAAAATATTTCAGTATACTTCATCTTTCTTACAAATGAGCTTCATTTTATAGCTTTTATATTCTTTTAATATGTTTACATGTAACTTTATTTCCTTTTCTATGAGCTGTGTCCATATTCTCTACTTATTTTTAACTAACTCAGATTTTTTTTTTTTTAATCGATTTGAAAGAACTATTTATCGCTTGTGGAAATTTAATTTGGAATTAGTTGCAAATATTTTTACTGGTTGATCTTCCATTTTTGGCTTTGCTTCAGGTGGTTTTTGTCACACAGAAATTTACTTTTACAAAGAAAAAGTACCAATCTTTCTTTTAAGGCTCCTAGGTTTGTGCCATATTCAGAAAAGTCTTTTCCATATCTAGATTTTGAAAAAAAACATAACAGTTTCTTCTAGTACTTTTATTGAATAATCCATATTTTTTGTGGCGATGTGAGATGGTGCCTTCATCAAATACTAAATTACTACATATATTGAGGCTACTTCGGGAATTTAGTATGTCTAAAGGACACAGGAAGCAACCTAAAAGAATAACCAATGGCTACAGCTGGTAAAATTTATTTAAACTACAAAATAGATCACAACAGTATTAAATTGTAACCCAAAAGGAAAAAATGAGTTCATACTAATGAACAGCTGAATTAGTTCCTAATGACACAATTGAATTAATAAATGAGAGACAAAGGACAGATATTCCTTTCTAAAGAATGCCAGTCAGTAAATATAGAAAGAATGTGGAAAATAGAAAATCACCATTAGAACTGCTATAGAGAGGCAAGAGCCACTAACGAATGCTAAAATTAGTAGACAAACTTTAAGGAGAAACAGAATAGTTGTATAGACTCAAAATATCCCTCCCAAAATATTTAGCAGTTACAGTGGTGGTTTTAACCATGGCCATAAATTCTTTGATACTACTTCCTCTGTCCTGAAATTACAACTTAATTCCCTCTCTGAGTGCAGGCTGGGCTTAGCAACTCCATTCTAACAAATAGTGTACAGAAAGGGGAAAAAAGTAATTTGACAGCAGAGAAACCTGGCAGACACCACCTTAACCAAGTGATCAAGGTTAACCTCAGTGATAAACCTACAGTGATAAACCATGTAGAGAGCATGTACTCCTGATAAGCACTTTACCTCTGTGGGGAATATTCTTCCCCCAAAAACATAATCCTAGTCTAATCATGAGAAAGAGCTAACTTCAGGGACCTTCTAACTTCAAAAAGTGCCAGGGTCATCAAAGATAAGGAGAGACTGTGAAACTAGAATAGGCTGAAGAAAACTAACAGAATATTTTAACTAAATGTAATGTGGTATCCTAATAAAATGTTTAAGAAAAAAACCTAAAGTTATCTTTATGACATGGGGTTCCTGGTAGATATCAAAGTAAGTCCCAAAAGCACAAATCTTTAAAAAAAAATAAATAAATAAATCTCTCTCTCTATCTCAAAATTAAATACTTCAGTCAACAAAAGGTACCATAAACAAAGTCAAAAGATAATCCACTGACTGGGGGAAAAAAATACACGCCTATCAAAAGCTTAGTATATAGAATATATAAATAACTTCTGCAAAGTCAGTAGCAATAGGCAAAAATCCCCATTTTTAAAATAGGCAAAGGATATCAACAGAAGATACCAAAATGTAAAATAAGAATTCAAGAAGATACTCAGTCCCGCAATTAATTAAGGAATTACAAATTACTATAATGATGTACAGAAAATTCAAAGAACTAAATTTACTATAAAAATAGGTTATAATGAGAAATCGCTCATTGTTAATGTTTGTGTATCTTATACAAAAATACTCTACATAAGGAAACTTTACATAAGCACATAAATATACTTACTTACTAAAACCAAAGTTGACTGACTGATCGCTGATAATTTCAAACTGTACAGGACGATCGCCCATGCAATATCTTCTTAATAACTCCAGGCAGGTATGTAATGTTTTTCTTGAGGGCTTATTTTCATGAAAAAGATCACCACCTAACAAAATAAAGTCCACCTAATCAGCAGAAAAGTGTTAAAATTAGTATGTTTTATAGACAAAATTTTTCTAACAGATGAAAGGTAGAAAAATGTATGACACTGTATTGCACAGAAATTTAAATACTTTATTCATTCAATGGACCTTCCAACCTGGTGATTAATTTCACTACAACTTTGGTTCCTAGGCCATCTTCAAAAAAGCTATCTTCAAACTACAACACCAAGTCTCTCACTGATGCAACCCCAACTGATCATTTTTTTTTCCATTATTCAAATCAAGAATAAAGTCAGTGCTTTAATAGAACCTATGAAAGAGGTAGCAAATTCAATCCAAATTATTTATTCTATTTAGTAATAGTTATTTAGAGTTTCTAAGGGCAATGGCAGCTAAGGATATAGCAATCTACAAAATAGATAACATCCCTGCCCTCATTAAATACTGCCAATATACAATACCCTATATTAGGCCCTGAGAATACAATGATAAATAAAATATAATCCCTATCCTAAAAATGTTCAAAATCTAACGGAAAAGACAAACTGTTATGCATGTAAGATAAGTGAGACTGACAAGTACTAGAATGGGTATGTAAACAAACCAAAAGCAGAAATGGCATTACAATGAGTTCTAATTGAGAACAGGAAATTCCTGTGAAGACAGTGAGTCTGGGAGAGATTTGCCTACACAGTGGCACTATGAAGGATAACTGAGATTCTGAGGAAGAGCATTCTAGGAACAGAGAGGAGAAAATCACACCAAAATAAAGTCCTACACTGATGCTTTCAAGAAGCGTGCCACCCACCAGAAGAAATTTAATTAAGATTTTAACTATACAAAGGAATCCAGCAGTACAGATCACTGTGGGCTAGAGCAGTGAAGGGTTGCCGAATGTGCTACCACAAAGCCTGCCACTTTGGCATGTGAACTGTTTTGAGCTGAAGGCAATTAAGACCCAGCTGACTGAGGAAAAACATTTCTACCTCTCCCTTAACTGGCAAGAGTTTGGATAGAGATCCTACAGCAGCAAGAAAGCTATTACCAGGGATGACTTTTTATACCAGTGAGACCTATCTGCATGACAAGGCACACATTTTGTTTATCAAACATTTGTTCTTCCTATCTTCCTGCGAATTGCCTTCCTCCTCTTTGAAGTCCCACACCCCTAAACCCTTCTTTTGCTCAGGATGGTATGTAAGCCTCAACTACCTGACTACCAGGAAGCTTCATATTTTTATGTATGAAATTTGTTTTTCTTCTGTTAATTTGTCAATGTAATTATCACACCAACCAAAGAACTGAGACAGAAAGGGAAAAGTTTTCCATCCCTACAGCAGTCAGAGAAGTTTTGATAAAAATTGGGATTTAAGCTATGTCTTCAAAAATGAACATGATTTCAGTAAAGGGAGGAAACAATCGTAATCAAAGGCATTGAAGAAACAAAACAAAACAAACAATTTTCGGAGGGAAGGAGAAAAGAGGAGTTGTTTAAATGGTATAGTTTCACTTTTGCAAGATGAAAAGAGATCTGGAGATTGGTTACACAACGTGAATGTGCTTAACACTGCTGAAGTGTATATACTTAAAAATGGTTAAGATGGTAAATTTTATTATGTGCATTTTACCAGAAGGAAAAATTTTTTTAAATTTTTTAGAAACTGGTTTGTGACTCCAGGGAACACTGAAAAGGACACAGTGACTCTCTTCCGTGGTATTACTGCCAAAAGTGAATTTAATCATGAGGAAGTGTCAGACCAACCCAAATGAGGAATGTCCTACAAAATAACTAGACTGTATTCTTTCACAACAAAAGGCAAAGACAGACTACAACACACTAAAGAAACATGACAACTAAATGCAAAATGCAATCTTGGATAGGATTTTGATACCACCTACCTGCCCCCAGACTGCTGTAACAGACATTACTAAGATATTGGTAACATCTTAAAATTACATAATGGTATTGAATCAATATTAATTTCCTGGTTTTGGTAAATGCATTGTTGTTATATATGCAAGTTACTCGAAAATGGTTCACAAAAGAGTGTGTGTGTGTGTGTGTGTGTGTGAGAGAGAGAGAGAGAGAGAGAGAGAGAGAGAAAGCTGAGGGAGGATAGAGCAAATGTGGTAAAATGTAGGAAAAACTGGGTGAAGGGTTAAGAAATTCTTTGTACTATTCTTGCAACTTTTCTAAGACTGACATTGTTTCAACATTAAAATTTAGAAAAAGACTCCAAGAACTAGGGAGTAGAAATAAGGCTGGTAGATAGAGTAGGCCCTACAAAATAGAGGGCTTAAAAGTTAGGAAAACTTCAGGCAAAAACTAAGTAACAAGCATCTGGAAGTATCAGCATGAGGCTGTGAGGGGAGACGGCAGTTAAAATTAAGGAAACAGGGAAGGAAAACAAAATAGAAGAAAAGGGCAAAGTAGGAAAAAAAAAGGTTATGCTCAGGGAAAAAAAAAAAAAATTTAACACTCAAGAGTTAGAAAACAAAGAAAATGGGATTCCCTGGGGCCCTAGACTCACATTTCAACTGCCTGTTGGAATGTTTCTTTGAATGTCCTATTAGAATCTCCTAACTCAAATGTCCTAAATTAGAATTCATCATCTTCCTAAGCAGTACCTCTTTGTTGTTTAAAACCTATTTCCATTAATTGGTACCCCCATTTACCCAAATTTAACACACTTCATAGTAACTGTCATACCCTTTTGTCTCATTCCCACCTCCCACAACTAACGAATCAAAGTATACATATCCTGTGTTTGGAAGATCTCTTGCATTCACTTCCTCTTTTCCATCCTATGCTACTACCTTAAAAATGCCTTAAACTGGACTCCAATTCAAGCTATACCCTGTTGCCAGAAGACTTTCTAATGAATTGGATACAAAATCCTCAATCTAGAATTTGAAGCTTTCCTTAATGCAGTTCAAACCACATTTCTGGTCTTTCAAGAAGCTTTCTAACAAACACAGCCTACCGGTGAGCAGACCAGACCTGCTGTTGCCCTAAAATACTTCATACTGTCTGTCTCACCCATGTGCCCTTCCTCCTACTGCCTGTGAAATGCTTTCTCCATGCTCTTCGCCCATCAAAAAGCCTACCCATCCTTCAAAGCCCAAGTTAAATGCCATCGCCTTCATTAAACTCAGCTTGCTATCCTCATCTAAATATAATCTCTTCCACCTCTAAAATCAAATCAATCTATCCTCATCACACCTTCACTGTCTATCTATCTTTCTTAAATAGAAACTATGGCATTTCTGCACTCAGAAAATACCCCATCAATATTTGTAAATTTGTACAGACTATTTTCAGAAGTAGCTCCCACCTGAATTGCAGGCACAAAGCACCCAAAACCTGCGGCAGGTTTTTAGTACATTGTTACTTAAACAGGCAGCGTGAGCCCATAAACATATAAAACAAAACTCTAATTCTAAAAGAAAAGGAGACTGCTGAATAAGAGAACAAAAGAGAAACTGCAAAAACATTAACCAAACTTACTTCATTTTCCTGGGCAAGTCTTAAAATTTCATCAAGTGTGACAAACGTATCATTTCCTCTGACTGCATCTTTCTCCATAAATCCCAGATGAATATCTGTTGCAACTAAGATTTTAAATGTATTTTCATCATCACTGTATTAAAAAAGAAATATTTCAATATATTCATTAAAAGAATGTTCAGGTACATTGAAACCTAAACTGCAGTTATGGAGTATAATCACTTTTCTAGTCTTAAAACTAAGTCTGAAAATTTGAAATATTCAAAAGATCTTTCTCCTCACATAGTTTGCCTACCACTAATTCAATACAGAACAAATGTACATAAATTTTAAAAAGGTCTTTGACTGCTTCAAAAATTTATAACCTTGTCACAATCAGTTTTACACACTCATTTGTACCCTGGACCAAAAAGCTTTATTGTTTTCCTATTCTGTTTCGTAACAAAAACCCAAGAGGATTTGACACCATATCTAAATTTGCCATTTATTCATTCTGTACTCCTCCAGGAAAAATTAGATGTAACTGGTTAATTTTAAAAGCCCTTCCTCTTATTTTATAAGTAGATTTTATGCCAATAAATCAGTAACTCACATTCAGGCCCCTGAAGTTGCTTATTTGACTCTCTATTCTCTATACAATGTTAAGTGTTACCTCAACAAACTTGGTCAAGAAATAAAACAGAATTATTTACAGTTCTATTCAAATTTGTTAGTATTCAAAGGTACTTTCATGTGAAACAGCTATGTAATAGTTATTAATACTCTTAAAGTACTTTTTAACATTTTTTTTGAAGTATTTTTATATCTATGATTTCATCTCAACTCACACATGTAGAGTTAGGTATTGCTATCTCTGAAAAATAAGAAGGATAGACACAGGGAAATTAATTGATTTATTGCACAACTACTAGAAACAGGACTAAAATCATTTTAAAATTCAGACTATATTTCACCAAACTATCATAATGGACTTAAAACACACACACACACACACACACACACACACACACACCTCTCTCCAAAATTAAAATCTTCATATGAAAGAGATTTTCCCAGAAAAGATTTCTCTTCAAAAACTTTAAAAATGATAGTTTTGATTGCTATGTACAAAAAGATAGGTCTGAATACTTTCTGATCACATTACTACCCTATGCTTCCACAGCAACTTGTGAAGGATTTTCATTACTCTCCCATTTAAAAATCAAAATTAATCTGAGAAAGGCATTTTTATTCCAGCTATACAAATGAAGAAACTGAGGCAAAGTTTAGAAAATTGCTAGCTTGCTCGAGATCACACAAGATTAACCAAGGAATTAAAACCACGGTGAAAGACTCCAACTGTTCCTTGTCCTCTACTTATTTTCATTTTACTAAAAATTAATTCCAATTTACTCAATACGAGAGCAGTTTACTCCTCTAAAAATGTGCTTTAACAGACTTGCCCTTACTACTAAGACTTTATCATGAAAGCTCAAGAATATTTATGGCCCTAATATTTTAAGACAAAACCTAAGAACATAAACTTACATACTAAAGCAACGCAACCAAATTACTGCAAGACCCAATCTATTGCTGCGTATTATCTTTTAGTTAATAAACAATATAGTATGAACATTCCAAGTATTCTTTTTAATGACTATCACTTCTGTTCACAATCAAGCTATTTGGTGCTAATTTATTAAATATGTTTTATTTTAGGATGATCAAAGTTGATGGGTTCTAGAAACCCAAAGCAACAAAAACATTCCAAAAGACAGGTGCTTACAGGGCTTCTGCAGGACTCATTTCTGTGGTCAATCCAGTTACTCTAGGACCAGTTTTCTCTCCAAGTAATCCCTGGTCCTTCACTCAAATGTCAGAAAACTCGTTCGATTCCAAATTCTAAAAACAAAACATATTATTGTAAAACACGCATTTTTAAAAAGCAGACTGGCAATAGTGGAGGAGTCTCATTTTCACCCAAGCATCTACCGTACTTTTAAGAACTAAGAATAGAAATGAGCACATCTCTAGTGCCATTCTAGTTTCGCCATTATGATTAAGCTCATCTCCTATTTCCCTTTTCCATGCCCTATGGCAAACTGCTAAATTAATGGGCAAAAAGGGTCATGCACCCAAGTTCTGGATTAGCACACGAACAACTCTGAATGAGCAAAAATGTTTATGGTTCTTGCACAGGCTATTCTGAGGCATGGAGGCGAACTTGTACTTCCTGCTTAAACACAAGATTTTCTAAAGGAATGGGCTAATCTTGTATAGAGGATGGCCCCGCGTTTAAAGCCAGTGTCGATAGAAACACTTAGTCTACGGAGAAACAACAGCCGCCAGCAGAACAAATGGCCAGCATGTTTGGGTAGGAGCGGCTGCTACCGAGAAACCACCTCTCCCACGTCCAGACATCCCCAGTGCCGTGATGATTCCAAGCCTCAGCATGCCCCACGCGGAACCCTCCAGGGCTCCTCCCCAGCCCACACGACCCATTCCTCTCAGAGAGTCAAGCCACTCTGGGCTTCATGTAAGAAGCGGGAACATCTCCTAAGTTACCGCACACTTAAGACTCTCCAAAGCCACACCAGCAGGATCCAAAGCTGTCTTTTAACCGGGAAAAGGGAGTGAAATTCTCTAGCAGAAAAGCAACAAAACAGACTGAGCTCGCTTCTGAGAATCGGCATTAGGCGCGAGGGGGAAAAAGAAAATAAAAACCTTTCTCTCGCGATACCTCATCGATGACGCGAGCGCTTCCAGTCCTCTTAGGCTTTCATTGGCTGTCTAATGTGTGAGAAAGCCGGGAAAGTAGCAGCGAGACCCCGCCCTCGTTTAAGAGCCAATCCTGAGCAGCCTTGAACTAACCCCGGAAGCGAGGTTTCCGGTGGCTACTTCCCCTCTGTAAGGTGGGTATTCCTTCCTTTCTTAGTACCACGCTTCGTGGTCGCCTAGTGCCTTCTAAGAACACCTGTGCCTGTAGGGGCGGATCAGCTGTCGACCCGGCCACGTCAGGGACTCTGCCCTGGGCTGTTCCGAAGGCCGCAAGAGCTACTCCCGGTCCTGTGAAGCGACGAGCAGGGGCCGGAGGGCCGGGACTGGTGGCCTTTTCCTTTACTCCTACCCCCCCCAGAGGTAGACCGTTCAGATCTTCAATTTTACAAGCTTTTCCCTGCCTCTGTTTTCCCCTTGAACCCGGATTTAGCATATCTGTATTGCTTTGTGCTAACAGAATATTTTGTAGTAAAAAGTGTGAAACTTCTGATTTAGAAAATCTAAGCTTCCCATGCCATTGAAGTTCCTTGATCTGTTGTAATCTATTTGAACCTCAGCTTCCTTCACCCGTAAAATGGGGTTTATGGCCCAACGTGTCACTAAGTTGTTTGTCAACGTGTCCTTTAGGTTAAGAAACATACCCTGTTTCCTCCGGGTGGAATATAATCAAGTAAGAGTCATGATTGACTTTTTAAATCCTGAAACAATGAGCTGCACCTGGGTTTAACTTTTTACATTAAATCCACCAAGAAAATTTTATGTGATTTTATTGTATCTGGAGCAGTAAATTAAAAATTTATTTTTTTTAAAAAAGAGTCTTAAGAAAGTGTGCCATGAGATTTGTGCTATAGATTGATGTAATTAACAAATGAATTTTTACTGGTATTTGTTTTATGAATTGATGTATGGTCACTTTTGTTTTACAAAGTTTAGGAAATAGTTTGAGAGTGAAGAAGAAAGTAAGAACTATTAAAATATGAAGCAATTCTCATAGTGTCATAGACTGAAATGCTGGAGAGGCCTTGGAATTCTTCAGTAAAATCCTTACATTTTACAATGAAGTAACAGACCCAGAGAAGGCACTAGTCATGAGTGACAGACTTAAACTCAGTTTGAATGCTCTTGGCACTAGTAACAAAATCTAATGCTGCATTAGGGTTATATACTATTAAACTCATAAAATTGGGCATAAAGAAATAAGTATCATAAGACTATCAGCTGATTTTTCAGTATCTTAGGAGTAGGACTAACTCTGCAACTTCCTAGAATCCATTTGAGTCAAAATCAGGTGATAGGGCTTTAAATAAATTTAATTCTACAATATTTCTTTTTTTTAAGCAAAACAAACAAAAAGGGGTTTTTTATTTTCTCTTCAAAATTCCATCAATAAACACAACACAACAAATATTGGCAGAATTTTGTGGTGTTTGCCATTTATTTATCAAGGCTGATATAGTTAAAATTTTTTTTATATAATTTATTGACTATGCTATTACAGTTGTCCCATTTTTTTCCCCCTTTATTCCCCTCCCTCCTGCAGCTCCGACCCCCACCAGCATTTCCCTCCCCTTAGTTCATGTCCATGGATCATACATATAAGTTCTTTGGCTTCTCCATTTCGTATACTATTCTTAACACCACCCCCACCTCCATCTATTTTGTACCTACCATTTATGCTTCTTATTTTCTGTACTTTTTCCTCCATTATCTCCTCTCCCCTTCCCCTCTGATCTCAATTTCTGTGATTCTGTTCCTGTTGTAGTTGTTTGTTTAGTTTGTGTTTGTTATTGTTTTGGGGTTTTTTTAGGTTCAGTTGTTGATAGGTATGAGTTTGTTGTCATTTTGCTGTTTATAGTTTTTGATCTCTTTCTTAGATAAGTCCCTTTAACATTTCATGTAATAAGGGCTTGGTGATGATCAACACCTTTAACTTGACCTTATCTGGGAAGCACTTTATCTGCCCTTCCATTCTAAATAGTGGCTTTGTTGAATAGATAATCTTGGATGCAGGTCCTTCCCTTTCATGATTTTGAATACTTTTTGCTAGCCCATTCTTACCTGTAAGGTTTCTTTTGAAAAATCAGCTGATGGTCTTATGGGAACTCCTTTGTAAGTTACTCTCTCCTTTCCTCCCACTGCTTTCAAGATTCTCTCCTTATCTTTAATTTTGAGTAATACAGTTATGATGTGCCTTGGTGTGTGCTTCCTTGGGTCCCACTTCTTTGGGACTCTGAGCTTCCTGGATTTCCTGGAAGTCTAGTTCCTTTGCCAGGCTGGGGAAGTTCTCATTCATTATTTTTTCACATAAGTTTTCAATTTCTTGCTCTCCCTCTTCTCCTTCTGGCACCCCTATGATTTGGTTGTTGGAATATTTAAAGTTGTCCCGGAGGTGCCTAAGCCTTTCCTCATTTTTTTGAATTCTTGCTTCATTCTGTTCCTGTTGAATGTTTTATCTCTTCCTTCTGCTCCAGAGCATTGATTTGGGTCCCTGTTTCCTTCTCTTTACTGTTGGTTCCCTGTGTATTTTTCTTTATTTCACTTTGGATGGCCTTCGCTTTTCCTCCATTTTGTGACCATACTCAACCATTTCTGTGAGCATCCTGATTATCAGTGTTTTGAACTCTGCATCTGATAGGTTGGCTATCTCTTCATCATTTAGTTCTATTTTGGGGGCTTTGACCTGTTCTTTTTTTTGGGCCATATTTCTTTGTCTCAGCAAGCCTGTTACTTTGGACGAGGCAGAGCTTTAGGTATTCACCAGAGCAGGGCAACTTGGGGAGGGGTCCAAGAGGAGAAAATGCCTCATTGGCTCCACTGTAGCGCCACCTTCAGTCACTTCCCCCACTACCCACAAGCAAATTGGGCCCTAGTAGTGCTGATTCCTCAGTGGGTAGGTTTGTGTGGGTTCTGGGACCCTGTGGATCTCTCCAACAAACTCTCCTGTGAGCCTGGGATTATTTCCCGCCGCCACGACCCCCACAGGTTTTTACCTCCAGAGGTTTTAAGGCTTTCTTTTCCCTTGCTGGGACCCTGGGTTGCACGGTCTCTCTCTCTCCCCAGCCATTCCTCCCGGTTATCCATAGGCAAATGTGGGTCTGCCTGGTCCTCCAGCCGCTGCCTTATTACGCGCATCCTCTCAAGCCAGCCACCTGTCTTCGCCCCTCCTACCAGTCTGGATGAATGATTCTTCTTTAACTCCTTGGTTGTTGGACTTCCATACAATTCAGTTTTCTGGCAGTTGTGGGTTTTTTTGTTTGTTTGTTTTTAAATTTGTTGTTGTCCTTTTAGCTGTGCGACGAGGCAAAGTGTATCTACCTACGCCTCCATCTTCCCCAGAAGTCCTAATTCTACAATATTTCTCAAAGCCTGCTGTATATAAGTGGGACATAAATATAAGTTTGATATACTTACTTTACTAAATTTATAATCTTTTAAGAATCCAAAACAAGAAAAAACAGTGGTTAAATAAGACAATATATAGCACACAAAAAAGTAGAAACTAGAGAGAGATAATTTGGAAGATCAAGAAAGACTTAATGAAAGAAATTACATCTGAGAAGCGCCTTGAAAGATGATTTCAAGCAAATATAGTTGGGAGGCTGAAAGTGGTATTTTTGAAAATGAATTATTCAATTACAATACAATATTAGTTTGTGGAATACAATATGGTGATTAGACATTTATATTCCTCACAAAGTAATCACTCCAATAAGTAGAAATGGGACTTAAAATATCCATTCTTCTCATTTTCTTTGGTTAATGTTTAATATGCTGTGTAACTCTTTAAGTTGATATTGGTTTATAAATTAATATGGCAGCCTAGCAGAATAAGCATCGCATACTTTGGGAAGCCTTCTCTAACCCCTTATGGCTGGGTTAATTATGACCCTCCAGAACATGTACTGTATCTGCGCATGGTCCTATCACAGCACTTATCCTGCTGTCTTTGCCAGTCACTCCAACTTGACAGTAAGCTTCTTGAGGTTAAGATGTGGATCTTCATTACTGAATCCCAGTAGCCTGAGACTGGCATATACCAGCCATTCTAGTCATATTTGTTAGATGAAGGGGTGAATCACAGCCAAAATTGAGTTTCAAAACAAGAAGCTAATTAAAAACTAGAATTGTCTGTCAATGAATAGGACTACTTTTAAAGCAGTGAACTTTCCCAAGTCTGAAATTATTAAAGTAGAAATAGGATAACTATTACAGATGTCATGATAAAGGTATCTGCACTGATGAGAGATTGGGACGCATGTCCTTTGGGGCTACTCTATCTCTAAGACTTCCTAATTCTTTTAATAGTTTTTTGTTACGAAGTTTTTGTTTCTGCTCTATAGTATCTATGTGTGTAGTTCATTGAAAAAAAAAAAATGCGTGTTTTATTGGTTATAATTTAAAAGCTTCAAGCCTTTCTCACTCTTAGCATAATACAATATAGTGTCTTAACCAGTAGTTTCAAAATAAATACAGACATACCTCAGATAGATGGGTTTGGTTCCAGACCACTGAAATAAAGCTAATAGTAAACTTTTTGCTGGTGAAGGGACTTGTCTTCAATTTGTAAAAAAATACATCTTGCTGTGAAGCACGATAAAGGACAGTGCAATAAAACAAGGTCTACCTGTACGGTTATAACCACTAACTTAGGAAAAAACAACAGCAAAAAAGAACTTTTAGGTTATTAAAGATATAGATAACTGAAATCTATCAGCTCTGATATTTAGTTAATATAAAGGGTAATACAAAGAGTTTAAACAGGGTTTATTTGTGAATGTTTATAAGACGTATGCTGTGGATAAAGCCTCAGTTACTGTTTTGCTAATAATTTTTTGTTTGTGTTTTCAGATCTTGATGAATAAAATAAAGCAGACATAATCTCTAAAAAGATTATTTATACCTTGGTGTTTGAAATGTTTTATGTTTAGAATAGTAGTAAAAATGGAAAATGAAAAAGCAAATGATGATGGACAACCAGACCCAGAGAATTCCTTGGACTTTTCTGAACACTTTAACCAACTTGAGTTGTTGGAAACACATGGACACCTTATTCCCACTGGTACCCAAAGTCACTGGGTAGGAAATTCTGATGAAGATGAAGAACAAGATGAAAAGACTGAAGAGTGGTATCAATTGCAAGAAAAGAAAATGGAAAAAGATCCAAGCAAATTGCTTCTTTGGGCTGCGGAAAAAAATCGGGTAAAAAAAAATAATTAAGGAAGAAACCATAATATAGTAGAAAAAGTATTAGATATGAAACCAGAAGACCAGTCCTTGAATCTCTGTTGGGTCTGTAACTATCTCTGGGCAAATCCTACTATTTCTGAACCTCTATTTTCTTATCAGTAAAAATGGCCACCTTAATACCTGCCTATTTTATACAGGGTTTTGAGGATCAAATGAGGGGATGTACATTGAAAGCACATGGTAAGCTACAAAGAGACAAAATTAGGAATTTGGAGGGAGAGGGAGCTTTAAGGATAATTAACTTATAACGATTACAAGCAGTCATTTGTATTTTTAAATCATTTATATTAAGTCATTAGGATCATCCTAGAAACGTATTATTTAGATAAGGAAGGATGGGAACTAACATTTATTGGATACCAGCTATACCATGTGCTTTATTACATTATTTGGTTTAATCCTTATATATCCCTAAAGGTAGGTCATGTTATTCCCTTTTACAGATTAAGAAATTGAGATTCAGGTATATTAATTTGCCCAGTATCATCAAAGTAGGATGATCAAAAGTCTATGTTTCCCATACAGTCACTCTTCCTTACTTTACTAACTTCCTGCTTGTCTCTGTTAGTAAACTGGTAACAAAATGTCTTGCATTTTTGGATATTTTTTAACCCAAGAGCACCAGTCCAAACTGAAAATCACTTCCTGAAAACACATGTCTAGGGTTGTTTTAGTTAGAATGAATTGAGCTCTTTAATCTCTAGATTTCTTTGTTACCATTACATTCTGATAAAGAAGTTTATTTTTAAAAGTTTTATACATTATGTATATGTGGGTGTGCTACTTCTACAGGAAAATCAATCTGTGATTATGTTTTCTTTACAGTTGACATATAAAATTTTAAATACAATTATAGCCTGTATTACTTATCTAGGACTAAAGCTTTTGTGCAGTGGTTTGCTATTCAGAGAATCACATTAATAGAATCAACAGTTTATGCTTAACACTAACGTATTCATTCTTAAATCAATTGCTGTCTCCCCTCAAAAAATGAAATCTTTACTTTTATTTTAAAGTCATCATCTAACAAGTAGGTTTTTATTTAACTTAATTAAATCTAGCACCAGTAGACAGTTTAACTTTCTCAATTTACTGCTTAGTTTTGAGTTGGGTTTTTGAAAGATCTCTTTTTTCCTTTTCAGCTGACCACAGTGCGGAGACTACTTTCCGAAAAGGCCACTCATGTGAACACTAGAGATGAAGATGAGTATACACCTCTTCACCGAGCAGCCTACAGTGGACACTTAGAAGTTGTCCGTGAGCTAATAGCACAAGGAGCAGATGTTCATGCGGTGACTGTGGATGGCTGGACACCCCTGCACAGTGCTTGTAAGTGGAATAATACTAGAGTCGCTTCTTTCTTACTTCAGCATGGTGCAGATATCAATGCCCAAACAAAAGGCCTCTTGACCCCCTTACATCTTGCTGCCGGGAACAAAGACAGCAAAGATACTCTAGAGCTCCTCCTGATGAACCGCTACATCAAACCAGGTCTGAAAAACAACTTGGAAGAAACTGCATTTGATATCGCCAGGAGGACAAGTATCTATCACTACCTCTTTGAAATTGTGGAAGCCTGCACAAATTCTTCACCTCAGTCTTAACGGTTCTAATCATTTTCTTAAGTTTCTAAGTACCAGTGCCTCCTTTGTGTGAGATGTCAAAAATCCCCGTAATACAAAGTTGACATCAAAAGTCTCACTACAAAAATTCAGTGGTACTTATTTTATCCTTCCAAGTGAATTGCCTGACCTTGATATCAAAATGCATTTAAAAGTTGTTTGGATATATCTTCAATGATTTCTGTGGAGTGTGACTTTTATCAGAAATAATTTTAACTTACCTATACTTAAAAATTTGTCATGAGTTGTACAGAAAAGTAATGATATATTTGGTGCTGATCCAAGAAAAATGTATTTTTAAATATCCCCTATCCTGAATCTTTGTTGAATATTTAGTATATTGACATGTATTTTTATAAGGTAAAGTAACTCAATTCAGTTTAAAAGTCTTAAATATACTGGTGCAGTTCAGCTGTCATCTCTGTTACCATAGCCATTTGCTTTCACTTGAAACCATAAGAACTAACATAGTGACTTGAATCTTGATAAGTTAATACAGTCAAGAACCTAGATTTTTGTCTGTTAGAACCTAGACTGTTTTCAGGAGAGTAGGTAGCTGGATGTTTAATCCATGAATGTTAAATACTGCCTCCCCTATCACAATTTACACAGTCCTGAGGACAGTCCTACCTCACTCTGGTCCACCTACATAATTCTTACCCTACTGGTGAGTCAGCATGACCTATTAGACATACCCACAACTATAGCTTGGTCCAGGAGATCATAATATTATCTGTTACCCAGCTGGTTTTACCTGGCTAATCCTGCTGATTTGGGCACTGCTCATTTAGTCATTCAAGTTCACAAAGTATTGATTTTCCAGGGTCCTCATTTTATACAAAGCAATCAAAGGCCAAGTGACAAGGGAAAAGCAATTCCTCAGAGTATGGGAATGATTATTATATTGAGGCTAGAATCACACAGTGGCTTAGGCTTTTTAAAAAGCCACAGTGTGAGTAGTGACAAAAACATAAATATAATATTCAAAAAATAAAGTATTGAACAACAAAAAAAGGCATGAATTCTTTTTTTAAACTTATAGGGCTTCCTTGGATCTATACATATTTCTTTATCCAGCACATTTATTTACTCTCTGTTCTCAGTGTTTCTAGCAGCGGTTTCCTATTGACTACCTGAAGGCTTTTCTCTTAACTTCTCAACACCAGAACTAACACAATAAACAAGGGCACTAAACCAGCGGCCCTTTACTTCAGTTATATTTTTTAAATGTCCACCAACGTTTGTCTATTTTGAACCAGGCCTTGTGACCTGATCACCCTAGACTAAGTAATAATGTTTAATCAAATATACGTGCTAGTTTTTAGGTAGGACAAAATTGGATCACCTCTGAAAAGTTAAAGGTAATGTATGAGCTGAATCATTGTGACAAACAGGATCTCAACAGTTAGGAGAACTTCAATTATTTTATGATATCTGGCAAAGAGGTACGTGGGTTTCAGAGTATCAATATCTATCATACAAGGATACTGGCAGAAAGTGAGAGTTCCTTTGTTTAATTTGGCCCAATTTAGTGATACCAGATGATAGGCACAGCTAATGAGACGGTGACAGTATAACAGGATCCCTTCTATCCCACTAGACTGCTAAGTGAGGCTGCCTAGTTATCTGAAATGCAAAGATCCCGTGGCTCCTTTCTTAATTGGGAATGAGTTGCATCCATGATTTTATATAAGCTTTCCCCTTAAGTTTAGGGCCAAAGAAGCTACCTTCTATCTAATCAGGAGTTGAGTTGAGGTGTAACTACTCCCTGGCTTTCAGATCTCACAACACTCAACTAGTGCATGGAAATCCCTCCCATCCCTGATGGCAGAGTTTATATTGTTTGTTTACTTTATATTTTTCTTAGTATTTACTGGACTCCTCTGTCTACAGAAGGCATTCACTAATTATGCTTTTGACTATATTACTTGCCTATAATTTCCAGTTAGTTTTAAGAAAGTTAAATAGCTCACCCTGCAAACCAAAATTTCTCTAATCATGTACAGTTTATCCAAAGACTTTAAAAAAAAAAATAAAGTCTGCATTTTTCATAACCAAGGCCTTAATTGTGATTAACGTATACGCCTGAAAAAGAGGTGACCTTTTCTCATTGTTTAAGGGATACATCATAATTCATAGGCCTGCAGTGAAATTACTTGGCTTTATTTTTTTAATCTTGAATACAATTCTCTGGGGAGCTTTCTGGCCCACAACCTCCCACGGTGATGGGATTTAGAGTTGTTATTCTAATTTTCATTCGTTGGCATCTATTATCACATCTGCCACTCTGCTAGAACATCATGATCAAGAGTCCCACAGCAGTAACACTTGCTCTAAGACATATGCCCCGTAATAAAATGAAACCACTGTATCAGTTCTCAATTCCTGATCAGCACACGTACCATCCTCACCCTGCCTGAAATGGCTGTAGGAATTTATGGAACTGGGAGGTACAAAATATGACCACAAAGTCACTGATTATGCCTTTGCTATAATTGGTTTATTGTGGTATATGCTCTAGTCCCTCTGTAGGATTATCAGGTGACCATTTAACTTGTGCAGCATGAAGTGCTTTCTCAAAAGGGAATTTAAGATCTCTACTTATCAAGTTTAGAAGATACTAAATTAAGAAAGATTGAGTAACGATTGGTGATTACTTCTGGAAACCTAAGCAGAAATTATCTAAATCAGAGCTGTCACAAAGAAACATAATGTGAGCCACATATGTAATTCTTAGTTTTTTTCTAGTAGCTGCCTTAAAAACAGGTGAAATTAATCTTTATAATATATATTATTTAATCTAATCAATCCAAAGTATTCATTTAAATGTGAGATACATATTTTAAATTATTGAGATATTTTACTTTTTTCGATAGTATAAGTCTTCAAAGTACAATGTGTATTTTATGGCCCATCTCAAGTCAGACTGGCCACACTTGACTAGTGGCTACTCTATTGAACAGGGCAGGTCCAGATGCTGGAAACATTCCTCAGAGGCATAGTTAGGAGGAACTTTAAACTTTGAACCAGACAAATCTGGGTTCAAATACTGACTGCCACCTATGTGTGACTTGGGTAAATAAACTCAGTTTTCTCCTAGGTAAAATGGAGATAATATCTAACTTGTTGGAGTTCTCTAAGGAAGAAATGAGCTGTACTGTGGATAAGATACTGTTGTATGATAGGTTTACAAAAAATGGTATCGAGTGGGTTCCCTTACCCAGCATTTCAAACAGAAATGCCCTTCCTGCTTTAGGTATTTGGATCTTTAAAGATTTCAAGCTTTATATTCCTGTATATATTGTAGTTCCTCTCATGACTTTCCAGTAAAATATGCAGCATAGAACTTCTTTCAAGAATCCAAACACCTCCACACTTAGAAAAATGTCAACCTCATCTTCCAATGTCCTTGCCTGGTATCATCAGTCTCCAATAGAAGAAAAAACTAGGAAATAGGCAAAAGAGTTTCAGCAAACAATTACAAGGACTTAAAGGATATGAGGTTCTGAGAGAAATGTATTTTCAGAACAGAACCAGGGCCTTGAAATTGAGAATGGTTTATTGCTCTATGTACAGCTTCTCTATGCCTAGTAAATGAGTAACTTTTAAATTCATGACTAATTTTTCCCCATTTCAGGGTGGGTCTTGTTAATGCTGAGCAAATGGAGTGAAAACACAAAAGCATTCATTTATTTATTTATTGCTTTAATTATCCAATCGAAAGTCAGGTAAATCTAATTGTTCTCACTAGGAATTTAATGGCATTGCCATGCTCTTGACCACCAGAGGATCTCAGAGTAGCAGAAAATCTGCTTAATGAAATGTATAGCTTATAAAAAATATAAGAGCAAGTTGCTACCTAATTTGTTTTCTTCATCCTCTTTCTATTATAATAGGTTCAGCATTTCAACTCTACTAGATGTAAAGTACTTGAAAATTAGGAAAACATCATTGGAGAATTAATATGAGTTCATAAGGAACATTATCTTGTGAGCAGTCACTAGAGTTCCATTTTCAGATACAGCTGCCTTAAACAGGGGCAATCTTTAACAATTAAAAAAAATGAGAGTGAGCTGCCCGTTATTTTAAAAATCAGGTGCCTATCCGGTTTTTTCACCCTTCAATTTAATAATTCAAATAGAAAGTATATCCTGATTGAAGGATTGATTCTAGGGCTAAGACGTAGCTGTGCAGTGAAAATCATTCTAAGGCCTGATATAAGAAACAGCTCCTTCAGGGCACTTTACAGAATAAAAGGACGGGAGTTCAGATTTGCTTCCATGTGCTTCTGCATGTTTCTTATTTGAAGATAAGCAAAGCTTATAAAAAGAATCAAAAAGAAGAAACGTTATATTAGGGTCCTTTTCTCCATTCCTTTATTTTAGTCTGCACATTTAGATGAGGGGGTTTTGAAGTCCATCTAGAAAGGGAAGTATGTCAGGGCTCCTCAAACTATTGACATTGGAACCAAATAGTTCTTTGTTGTAGGGGCATCCTGGGCATTGCAGAACCTTTCACAGCCTTCTCGGCCCCTACTGACTAAATGCCAGTAGCACCTCCCACTCTTCCTCCCTACTAACGACAACCAAAAATGTCTCCAGACGTTGCCAAATGTCCCCTGCTCTATGTCCAGAGATTTTATTGTTTGGCTAGCCTCAAAGTTGTTTTATTAGTATGCAACTAAATTTCATTTAAAGCACATTTTCTTTAGAGTCCTAATATCCATCAGTATATATTCAAAAATTAGATAATCATTGATTTTTTTTTAATTTTTCGTATTATCATTTAAACACATTTCAAAGTTGTCAAACATACAATTAGAAAAGGAACACTCTATAATATTGAGTGTCATTTGTAAGAAAAACTCACTCTCTACTACCAGGTTTGTTTGGTCTCTAGGAAATTTACCCCTTAGGTCAGATTACTTTATTTTTAGAGAAATTCTAACTTCTCCATTAATGGAGATGATAATAAAATCCTGATTTTTAATAGTTTGCACCATTACAAATGTGAATTTGTTATTGAATTGTTTAATAAAATACTATTAAGTTGATGCATAGGCTCTTTACTACTAGAAGAAAAGGGATAAACACAGCCAACAGCCTTTGTCAGAGAAGAATGAGCTGGTAAGGGAACTAGCCAGTTCCAGGTATAAAACAACTGGGGAAATAGACAATTCTCTTTTAATGTCATTACAGATCTAAAACTCTTCATTTGTTATTTAAATATAAAAAATATGGTATAATTTATTTTTGCAGTTACTTTCACTTTAAAAATTAATTCCAAGATAAAATATATCAAAATAATAGTGTAAAAAATGTTATATTTGTTTATCATCTTTCCACAATCATTTATGTAATGCATGAATGAAATAGTCTCATCTGATCTTATTTATGAAAGTTTTTAAATATCCAAGATATGATACATCAAACCACTGTGATAGTATTAATAGCTAACAGTTGAGTGCTTACTATGTACCAACTGTGCTATAGGTTCTCACGTGCATTATTATCTCATGTGAGCCTCACAATAACCATGAAGTAGATACCATGATAGAAATGAGGAATTTGGGCTAATGGAGGTTAAGTAAATCACCCATCGTCATGAACTAAGTTTCCAGAAAGCTCACGATTAAATAAAGCTTTTCATCTGTGATGGTTTTGAATGTTAATATCCATGCACCACCAGTTAGTCTATCAAATAATCATAACAAAAATTCCATTTTATTTCCTATTAATTTTGTGTAGTTTATTTATGGTAGTGTCTCAGGATATAAAAATTACCATTAGGAGCAAACTGCATTTTATGACATAAAACGTAAGTAAACAAAAGTTTCATAAGCGCCTGCCCTGCTGGTGTGGCTCAGTTGGGCTTCATCCCCCAAACCAAAAGGTCGCTGGTTTGATTTCGCAGTTGCGGCACAAGCCCGGGTTCCGGGTTCGGGGTTCGGCCCCAGGTCGGTGTGCTTACAGAAGGCAACCGATCAGTGTTTCTCCCTCACATTGATGTTCTCT